CGCCGGAAGAAATATCAACAACCTCAGATATGCAGATGACACAACCTTGATGGCAGAAAGTGAGGAGGAATTAAAGAACCTTTTATTGAGGGTGAAAGAGGAGAGCGCAAAATATGGTCTGAAGCTCAACATCAAAAAATCGAAGATCATGGCCACTGGTCCCATCACCTCCTGGCAAATAGAAGGGGAAGAAATGGAGGCAGTGAGAGATTTTATTTTCTTGGGCTCCATGATCACTGCAGATGGTGACAGCAGTCACGAAATTAAAAGACGCCTGCTCCTTGGGAGAAAGGCGATGGCAAATCTAGACAACATCTTAAAAAGTAGAGACATCACCTTACCAACAAAGGTCCGTATAGTTAAAGCCATGGTTTTCCCAGTAGTGATGTATGGAAGTGAGAGCTGGACCATAAAGAAGGCTGATCGCCGAAGAATTGATGCTTTTGAATTATGGTGCTGGAGGAGACTCTTGAGAGTCCCATGGACTGCAAGAAGATCAAACGCATCCATTCTTAAGGAAATCAGACCTGAGTGCTCACTGGAAGGACAGATCGTGAAGTTGAGGCTCCAATACTTTGGCCACCTCATGAGAAGAGAAGACTCCCTGGAAAAGACCCTGATGTTGGGAAAGATGGAGGGCACAAGGAGAAGGGGACGACAGAGGATGAGATGGTTGGATAGTGTTGAAGCTACAAACATGAGCCTGACCAAACTGCGGGAGGCGGTGGAAGACAGGAGTGCCTGGCGTGCTCTGGTCCATGGGGTCACGAAGAGTCGGACACGACTAAACGACTAAACAACAACATGATGATGATAATGATAATTGTATTCTCAAAAGCAGCAATTGCATTTGTGAAAAATCCCAGTTCGAGCAATGCCATGCAGATAGCAGGGCCTTCAGTGAGAATTGCACCAAGGTCTCCCAGCCGACACAGAACATATTTATCTAGCCCTTCTAGTTCAAAGCCTGAGAATACTTGATGCCAAGTTGTAGTTCTGGCAGCTCAAGGGCAGCAGCTATACTGAAACAAGCCAGTTCCTGTGACTCCTGAGTCCTGACATTGTGCTCACGTGTGCATGCTGCTGAGCACTCTCATGTGTACAACCCAGTCCTCAGCAGCCAGTTTTGAGGAGGCAAGAGTTATTTTGATTATCATTCCATATTTCCCCGCAAAGTTAAGGCAGGAAACTCTCCCTCCCCTGTTCTCTCCCTGCCCCCCCCTTTTGGGGTTCCTGGGTGTCTGCATGTAGTGTACACACTTTATAAATGAGCAATGCAAGAGCTTGGGCTGCCCTGGCACAGGTAAAGTAATAGAAAAAAGGAGATACATCAGAGCATATGCAGAGTGCAGCCACTGGTGCTCTCTGAGATCAGGAGAAAACAAGTTTTTCTCAGAGGCAAAAAGAGTCCTGGGCTTGACCCCAGGTGCATAACTCCCATTAAAAAAATTAACAACTGGAAATTAAGACTACCAGAATCCTCCATTCACTGCCTTTATTCTTCAAAAGCATTATTTCATTTACAGATTGTAGGGATTTTCCATATATACAGTCATGGGCCCATGATTTAAGAATGGGAAGAAATGGATCACAGTCCCCACTCCAAGACAGCCTCTAAGAGATATATATAGATACACGCACAATATCACGTGTAGATCAAGTTCAGCTGTCACACAGTTGGAAGGACCCCAAGGGTCATCTAGTCCAACCCCCCACAATGCAAGAATCACAGCCAAAGCATCTATGACATCTGCTCCGAAGTAAGTCACACTAAGTTCTGTGCAGCCTACTGAGTTACTAAGGGCTCCTGCCCTTGCTCTCTCTGCTCGCTAACCTCACCTACTGGCCACACATTGTCCTCCTTTAACATCTCAGCCAGCAACATAGCGTGGATTGCAGGCACCTGGGGTGGGGCAAGTGTTACACCCTTCTGATGGACTGGGCAGCTGGGTTGGGGGTGCATGCTGGGGGGTGCATGCAGCAGAACGCGCACAGAGGCTGAACACAGCCCCTCTGCAACAGGCTCCTTGCCCACTGCCTCCACCCCCCTGGCCATTAGACCAACCTGCCTGCTGCCGCACCTCAGCAGCTAGAGCTCCATGCCTGTCATGGGAGCGTCAGATGTGCCCGGGGCCATGGACCCCCTGCCCCCCCCACGCCTCTGATCTCAGCCAGCCCCTCACTTTTCCCCTCCCATAAATACGACTGCAGAAAAAAAATAAAAAATTCAGAGGAAAAGATTATTTTGAACTACATACCAACTAAATGGAATTGGACAGTTGGACAACATAAATGAATTATTTGTGCCCTGTGACCAAAAAACTGGTATTGATGCGCTGGAAAGATAAGTGTACAGTGGTACCTCAGGTTAAGTATTTAATTCATTCCAGAGGTCCGTACTTAACCTGAAACTGTTCCTAACCTGAAGCACTACTTTAGCTAATGGGGCCTCCTGCTGCCGCCGCGCTGCCAGAGCACGATTTCTGTTCTCATCCTGAAGCAAAGTTCTTAACCTGAAGCACTATTTCTGGGTTAGTGGAGTCTGTAACCTGAAGCGTATGTAACCTGAGGTACCACTGTATACATAAAAGAACACTGTAAACATCTAAATTCTTTGGCAGGTCATGATTGACCCCTGAAAGACAGTAGAAAACTTTACAAAACCAAGACAATTGAGACAATTTATGAGAGACAATGGAAAGTGTGTAATTGTAATTGTAATTGTAACAGTATACTTTTTGTTTTATCTTGTTCAATTAAACTGCTCTTAAACAACAACAGCAACCACCCATCCCCTCCCAGCTTGCCCCACGCCCCTCTGCTCACAGCCCCAACGGAGTGGGGGAGGTGTTTCACAGAGCAGTTTGTCAAACCACCCTTTGAAGCACCTTCTGTCCCCTCTGTTAAACAGCTTGTCAGGGCAGCCTGCTACCCTGTTGTCTTCTGGAGTTGGCATGGCCACCAAAGGCAGCCAAACAAACTGCAGCATGACGACAACCTTACATTTCTATGTATATAGGAAAATATTCAATCAAGTTGTACTAAGAGTTGACACACTGGAATTAATGGACCTAACTTAATTTTAGTGGGTCTATTCAAACCCATTGAACATAATATAGAAAGTAGGTCTGAATAAACATATCTTGGATTGGATTGCACTTCAATGGTGCAAACAGATGTTAATATAAAAAAAGCTCAGAGAGTATCTCTCGGTCACAAGATAAGCCTAGCTCCCTCCCAGATTCCATATGAAACATGCACCAGATCAAATGCCAGTTTGGTCAACGGAGGTGCTTCAGCCACCTCATCATACTTGATCTCTTTACCTTTTTGTTTTTTTAATAGCACCACACAACCTTTTATTACACCTTTGATAATCATTAAAAAGGAAAACACTAAACGTTTTTAAAAGTACAAAACTGTAGATTAGGGAATGAGATTTTGTGGGTAGATGAGAAGCTCCCACTTGAAAACCTTTGGTTTTGGGGAGCAGGGTTAGTTGAGGTCAATTGTGAGAGGAAATGCTATGTTTAGATTTAAACAAAATGAATGAGATGAAACCAGAGCAGCCTCTTACTCTAAATACGGTATGTTGCATCTTGAGGCGTCTGTGCACTGTTCCTTTCTTGCCTCCAGGAGGTTAATATGGTGGAGTGAATTGACCCCTGTTTAGACCCAGCTGTTTAGGAGACCAGGTGGAAACAAGAGCAGAATATTGACTCACTTGCGGTGTAAAAATTATTATAGACGATATTATTTGATATAAAAACTGGAGTATGGATGAATATGCAGTTCTAGATGTTTAAAATGAGACGCCATGGAGGGGATGGGAGGAAGTCTCAAGATTTGGAGAATATCTTTATATAGATTTGTTTTTACAGTTTGTGTTCATTTATATTTTGTATTTGTAAAACCAATACCAATTATTTCAAAAAAAGAGAAAAAGAAATAGAGCTCAGCTGAACTCAAGCAGTTTTTCATTCAATCTGTTGTGGAAAGTTGTGCAAGGAGGTGTATCCTGCTTGTGAACTGCTTCAGTTGGGCACTCATGGCTCTTTCATAAAAAAGCTAGTATCCCTCCATAAAGGAGTCCACATCTTCCCAGACTCTGTTGGCTGATCCTCTTTCCTTCATTTTCACAACCTCTCTGTTCAAGATCATCATACTAATAGAGTGTGTCATGACATCCACCTACTCCTTTACCATTGACACATAGCTAATTTCTTCAGCTAATGCTTTTGTTTTCAGCAAAGCAAAGTGACTTCAGACCCTGGTGACTTTATAGTGCAGGGATGGGGAACCTGATGACCCTCAGAGGTTACTGGGCTCCAGCTCCTATCATCCCAGACTATGGCCCATGCTGGGTGAGATCTGATGGGAATTGGAGTCCAACAACATTTAGAGGGATATAGGTTCCATCAAGGCTACCATGGGGTGGGGAAATGCTGCTGGACCAAGTCCCCACACAGTCCCCCCCCCAAAAAAAATGGGTTTGCCACTCCTGCTATACACACGTACCTAGGAGTAAGGCCCATTGAACTGAACAAATCTTTCTCTGAGTAGGCATTTATGGAATTGCTGTGTAAATATGGTGGGTCTACTGGTCTATATACCTTCTATGGCTGCAATCCAGAGCAGGTCTGGCAGCACAAGCAACCTAAGCAGTTGCTTTGGACCACAACACGTTAAGAGTCACCACTGAATTTGTGTGTGATCTGAAAGGTATGTCCCAGAAGCCTTTGCAATAGTTCATTGGATGGGTGTTATGTACTAAGCCTGGATCCTAGAACAATAGGCAAGTAGGATCCTAGAATGCAACAACTGATTGGCCTGCAGGAAAAGACCAATTGGGCTCCAGGAGGGAAGCAGAATCATCCAATCAGATGGGACTCATTGTGCAAATAATGTATATAAAAGCCTGAGGTTTGGAGGGCAATTCAATCAGTTTTACAAGCTGCATTAAAGAGCATGAAATCACTACAGGACTCTTAAGTATATTTCACTGGCGACAAGGGTGGGATCCTGCCGAGCTGTCTGCTGCGCACTGCACACAGCTGCCACAGGCAACACAGCACCGCACTGCGCATCCAGGCTACAGCTCCAGGACCCAAGGACCCAGAACGGCAACAGACAACAGCTTCATGCCGTTCAGCCCAGCCTCAGGAGACTGGGGAGGCTATGCCACCCACTTCCAGTTACTCCTGGAGGCAAAGGATGTCACTGATGCAGGCAAGAAGAGGGCGACCTTCTTCAGCGTCTGTGGAGAAGAAATGTTAGAGATCGCCCGAGCCCTCCTCACTCCCACAAATATAGCAATCTTTCCCTACGACACTTAGACCATGCATAGCTTTGGGTGATCTATTGCTCAGCCCAACCACTTGGGGTGGGGGGATTCTCTGGAACTGGCCCTGCTGAAATCATATGCATACTTCCCTGGGAGTAACTGGTCACATGTCTCTGGGAACCAAGGAGGACTTACCTCCCCAGGAACATGCACGGAGAATTGCGTTTCTGAATTGTGTTTCCCACTACAGTCCTGGCTCACACTCTGAGCTACAGCTGCCCCGGGACAATAATGCCAGAAACCTTGGACACAGGATAATATTCCCTAGACGGGGGTGGGGACAGTGCAGACTTTTGCCAGTGATGATGATGATGCCATTCAGGCTGTCCCTGCCAGTTGTCCAGAGAAGCTCACACACCCTGATTGCTGTGTGCAGAAAAGCTACCTTCCCTTTCCCAAGAGAGGGCAAAGAGCCAGACAGGTCTGGGCCCATCCCACCAGCCACATTGGGGAGGCGTGGCTGCAAGAACCTGAACTTCCTCTTAGCATTTCATAGCCTTCAGTTCCCACTCTGCCTTGTCCCTCTTCTGACAGGGATGAGCCGCTGTGCAGAGAGCCTGAAGGGCTTCCTAGCCCGGGTCGAGGCCCAGGCAGGGCAAGAGAAGGGGCAGCTGGCTGAGGAGTTCCAGGTGAGTCTTGTTTACCTGGGCGGGGAGAGGGTGACTCAGGACAGCAATAGACCTCACCCTGCCCTGGGTTAGGACTGGCTGACAGCACCTCTTCCCCACCCCACTGTTCACTGCAACCAGGGATTTTCCTCACATACTCTGAGGTTTTTCCTTTTCCTGGTGGGCCTCCCATACCTTTACTGGCCTGGTGACAGGCATAAATTAAACCGGTACAGGTTTTTTTCTACCTGTGCATCTCCATTCCAAGAAAAGCTACAGAAGTTGAATTTCTGTCTAATTTTCTAGGAGTGGCAAGTTGACTTGCCTAGTGATTACTTTCACAGAACCAGCACGTTTTAAAATGACATTTCAGTCCTGCTTTGACCCATGATTTGCCACATGACCCAATCCAGCTGATGAGTGCTGGAGGGAAGCCTAACTGCACCTCCCAACTGCATTCCAGGCATGTTGCCTGCTCTCCAGGGGAAGATAATTCCTCTGATGCTCAGAGGGCTCCCAGATCTATGAGGAGAAAAGGAAGGAGTGCAAGAAGATGAGTATTTCATGCTTGCTAAAAAGCCATAACCTTACAGCAACTACAATGGGCTGCCTCGTATCTCCCTTCTAGTTCTAGACACTAGTGTCCAAGTTAGGACTAGAACAAGGCGCAAGAATGACAGTAGCAGAGAGAAGTTGACAAGGGTCTTCTTGGGATTTGAGTCCAAAATGGGTGTCCCATCTGTCCATAGTACAGGCCAGCCTTGCATATTTCACCCTTGATTTGTTCCATCACAATAAGAATACAAGAATTTTATTTCCTGATAAATTTCATTCTATACAACTCTTGGAAAAGAATCTTTCTAGGCTGCTCTATCTATTTGTAGTAGTGTAAAAAGCTTGCATGCAGGTATACACTTACAGGATGCTATATAAGAAACTAAGCAGGCACAGCTGCCTTTTGCGTACTCTTTTCAGGCAAAGATCTGTGCCTTAACACTCGGTGCCCAAGCAGTTTTTCTTTTTTGTTTTGCACCGAGCTTTCCCGTGAAAAGCAGCTCTTTGAAGCTGAATTGGAGCAAACATCAATTCTAGTTTTCCGTGGACTGACATTTGCTCTGGTTGAACTTGAAGAGGCAGGTTTTCACGGGGAAAGCTCTGGATCAAAAAAAGGAGGTGGTGCTCAGACACTGTTCTTTAAATCGTGGGCTGTACCTAGAATCATAGAATCAGAGTTGGAATAGACCACAAGGGCCATCGAGTCCAACCCCCTGCCAAGCAGGAAACACCATCAGAGCACTCCTGACATAAAAAGATCAGTACAAAGGTAAGTGTGGATAAGCCCTAAAGCTGTGAACCAAGAAGCTTCGAGTTCAAATCTCACCACTGCCGTGAACTTGGAAAGTGGCCTTATGCAAGTCATTCTCAGCCTCAGTCCCTCGTCTGCAGTATGAGACTAATAATAAAAACAGTGACTGGCTTTACAGCTTTGTTGTGCAGATTTACAGGGATAATGCCATGAAGTGCTTTGAACACTCAGAAAACACTGCAGAGGTGCAAGTTGTGGTGGTTTATACCATACCAAATCTGGATTGACTGCCATATGTTCCTGCAGAAGAACTTGGGAGTTGTCTTTTTAAGTACAGTAGTATTTTTAGATGATCACTTTTAATGTACATTGTGGTTTTTAAAGGTGTTTTACTGGTTTCCATTGGTATGGATTTATCTTCCGTAAGTCACTTTTGAGACTGTTCCAGTGTAAAGCAACTCATAAAGATAATAATAAATAAATAATAGTTTGGCAAGTGAGCATTGTTGTTGTTGCTGGCATCCATCTGTCTTGGGAGACAATGGAAGAGTGCACCTTTTGGGGTGAAGTCAAACCGCTGGAGTTACAGCACCTGCTGTGGCTGCAGAGACTGATATGGGACAGACATGTTTTGTTGCAGCTGGGGCAGATGAAGGTGCCTAGTTTCACTGTTACAGCTGCACCATGGCGTTTCTTTTCTCTGCGTTCCTCCCAGTGGTCATTCCTCCTCTGTTCATTACTGTGGATGCACGACTTGTCTGTCTCCAGGCACTGCAGTCGTCTGCAAGGGATTCCCACAAAGTGGGGTTGATGTTCCAAGCCTTCACGTCATGTTTGAGACATTTTTGCAGCTTTGCAGAGTTGGTCCGCCAACAGGCCTGGTGCCTGAAGCTATACTAGAAGCCACTGGCCTTCTCATCTGACAACACTTCCCAGAGCCTCTCTGTTAGGTGCAGGGCCAGCCCGCCCATGAGAGGCAGCTGCCTCAGGCAGCCAGGTCCCCAGGGCAGCAGATCTTGATGTTGATTTTTGTTCAGGACCGGCTCACCCATGAGGCCATGTGAAGTGAGTGCCTCAGGTGGCAGGGTCCACTGGGACAGCAGATGCCAATGTTGATATTTCTGCTCTCCTTGTTGCTGAGGTAAATCTCTCCTCCCCCCTTCTTTCTGGCAGGGAGGGGGGCATCATTTTGGGATCTGCCTCAGCTGCCAAAATGTATTGGGCTGGCCTTGGTTGGGAGCCCTGACAAATAGCTCTGAAACTTATTTAGCTCTGTAGTGTAGACGTGTTTATTTGGTAGAGGGTGTGAGAAGCTAGAGTGTCTGCATGTGTTCCCAGATCCGAGCTGGCAAGCAGATTGAAGAGAAGAGTTATTAATACATAGCTGTGGACTCCATGTTCCGTTACACGCTAGCATGATGAAGAAATGTAGGACACTATGGGGCAGGGCTGATGCAGCTGGACTCACCAGCAGCAGGAAAGAGATTTCACACTTCTCCCAGTGGCATCCTAAGTGTATCCTTCTCCTCTCTATCCATATAACTGATGTAGAAAAAACCTGCTCCTTTTCCCTTGTGGGGTATCCAAGAGCCAGTATAGAGCCCTTAAGTGGGTTCTCTATCGGTAGGAGAAAATAACAGAGGCCAACCAGAGAATATTGAGAAGCAAAAGAGCTAGTAAGCATGACCTTTATTAAACTGTTGCAACAGGGTCCTCACTCACTACATGCAGGAGGGAGGAGGAACCCAGAACAATGGTGTGCAAGCCTTTATATAGACTTTTGAAATTACCCACCCTGTAGCTCAAGACCACCCCCAAAAGCGCCATACATACATCACAGAAGGAGGCAGTCTACAGCAGAAATCCTGTCTGCTAGGATACCTGACAAAGGTCACTGATTGCTTTACTTGAGCAGCCCATCCATTCTTTTGTGATGGTAACGGTAAAGGGACCCCTGACCGTTAAATACAGTGGTACCTCGGGTTACATACGCTTCAGGTTACAGACTCTGCTAACCCAGAAATAGTACCTCAGGTTAAGAACTTTGCTTCAGGATGAGAACAGAAATTGTGCTCCAGCGGCACGGCGGCAGTGGGAGGCCCCATTAGCTAAAGTGGTGCTTCAGGTTAAGAACGGACATCCAGAACAAATTAAGTACTTAACCCGAGGTACCAGTGTACAGTCACGGACAATTCTGGAGTTGCGGTGCTCATCTCACTTTATTGGCCGAGGGAGCCGGCATACAGCTTCTGGGTCATGTGGCCAGTGAACCAGAGCAGCGCACGGAAATGCCATTTACCTTCCTGCTGGAGCGGTACCTATTTATCTACTTGCCTTTTATGTGCTTTCGAACTGCTAGGTTGGCAGGAGCAGGGAGCGAACAACGGGAGCTCACCCCGTTGCAAGGATTAAAACCGGCCACCTTCTGATTGGCAAGCTTTAATTCCCGAATTAAGGTCACAGGCTCACCCTATTCATACACAAAGACGCCCTAAAGACAGGTACGGTAAGCAAAAGACAGTGGAGAGGCTTTCCCATTTCCTTCCTCCTTGCTGAGAAAATTTGAGGTCAATTTGGGAGAGTCAAAATGGTTTCAGGATTGCTCTCCTGTACTATTTCAGACATGTGATTTATATTTTTATGTATGTGTTTGCCTTGTAAATTTATGAACATTTACCGGTAATTTATATATTTGAGACCTTAAATTCTTATAACATAAGAGAATGATTATGGCCATTAATTCCTAGGGGGGAAAGAAACTCAATTTGGGAGCCTCCAGGTTTTCTTGTTTTTGCAGTTCTCCTCTCTAAATATTTGTTTGCAGTTCTGCAAAATTTGGGGTTCCCCTCAAATCTGTGGATACCTCCTGGTGCTGTTCTGGCAATGGGTTTGCTAATAGTATGAAGAATCAAGAACCATGCAAAATCAAGACTTGATTCTGTCCTGTAAAACTGGGCCTTAATTGCCCCCTGTTCCTGAGACTGCGAGTTCCCAGCTGACTCGGCCAACATGGCTTTTCCGTGCCCTGTCAGATGGCTGAGATGATGAGTCCTTCTAAGCTGCACATGCCCCCCAATCGGTTGCTGCATATCATGTGCCAGGATGCATTGGACGTGGTCACCTTGTGGATGAGTTGACTCTAGGAAGGCTCTGTGGGTGGCCTGTCTGGTCTTGATTTGAACTGAGGCTTGCACAAGCTGCATTGCGCCTCTTCAAAACACATGCACCTGAATACAGATCCACACATGTCAAGCACATCCAATGCACATTTAAAGTACATGGCTTCCTGGGAATATTCCTGGGAAATATACGGTAGTTTCCCCCTCCCATAACTAAAACCATTAACAAACTACACTTCCCATGATTCTTTGGGGAAAGTCATGCGCTTTAAATGTGTTCTGAGGAAACTTTAAATGCAAGATGTGGATCTGTCTCAGTCACAAATCTTTTGCTATCACGTCATTTGGCTCTTAAGGTATTTTTGAGGGAGTGGCTTTCCTTGGTGTCATACGTCCCCTTGATTGATCCTGCACATTCAAGATCTTGGTCCAATGAGGCTTTGATCCTTTCAAGGTTTTGTTGAGGCCAAGGACCCTCATTTCACTGCGCCCTGCAGCAGTTTACAAATATTGCATTTCCTTATGGTGGGACAGGTTTGATCCTCCTTCTGCCCCCAGGTTCCAGCATTGGCTTTGCCCACAGGCTGCATCCAGGTTCCAGATATTTTAAGTTCAAGTAGCTTGCCAATTTGAATTGAAAGTGAAAATGGGAAACTTTCTCTAAATTTGTGTGTGCCTGCATTTCAACTTTACTTCCTAATTTATAGGCACGAGAACAAGGTATTGTCACACACCTTGAAAATAGGAGGGGAGTGGAAACTAAGTCATTACCACTTTTGCATCCTTTTAGCTCCATGAACTCCAGATACAGTCATGCTTGATTTCCCACACAGACAGAACGTGAATCCAGGTGTCCTGATTCCTAAGCTAGCAAGGTCTAGAGCAGGTTTCAGTGTCACATGCCTGGCCATGTGAGGCTGCTAGCTCTCATTGTTGGTGTCATTCGTGGTGACAGTTCTGAGATGTTGTATAACCCTCCTTGTTTCTTGAGCATTACATAAATAGTAACTATAATCTCTCTCATACCCTTGGAGACTGGCCTTCATTGTTCTGTGTTTGAGAAAGGTCAGCAGAGAGAGGTGCCAGGAACCCAACAAGTAAGAAAGTTTCTCTGAGGGTTTAAACAGCATATCTAGCATGCCAGGGTCACTGCAAATCTAACCTTTGTCCTCTTCCATGCAGTGAAACCTCTTGCACCAACTGTTGTGCAGTGACCATCCTCCACTGGGGCATAGAAACAAGCAAGACTTAGCATAAGACAAGGAGGCAATGCTTAAGTTCTGAAATGGGTCAGGTGACGATTCAAGCTTGCCTAGGAGGGAAGCTGTACGGTTCACCTTGGAAATACCTGTCATCATGTTGTTGATCCAACCTGTAAAACTGTGTTCTTTCAAGTAAACAGCTTGAGGTGGAAAAATGAGAAAACTCCAGATTCTGGCAGGCTCTGCCCAGGATCCACCAGGTTGTGCCCCTGGCTCCTCCTTTTCAGGTAGATCCACATCATACATTTAAAGTACACCCAGTTCCCCACATAGAACTACAGTTCCCATTACCCTTAACAAACTACAGTTCCCAAGATTCTACTCTGCCTTTCACCATCCAGGCTCAGACCCCTATTTAGTTCAGTGAGAGAGTTTCTGCTGTCATGGGATCATAGAGCTGGAAGGGACCCTGAGGAATCTGCAATGCAGGAATCTTGACTGAAGCATCCATGACAGATGACCATCCAACCTCTGCTTTAAAACCTCCAAGAATGGAGAGTCCACAATATTGTCTGGGTAAAGTCAGGACATTTGAGCCAGATATGGAAGGGTACAAGGGATGCGGGTGGTGCTGTGGACTTGCCGATCATAAGATCGGCGGTTCGAATCCCCGCTACGGGGTGAGCTCCCGTTGCTCGGTCCCTGCTCCTGCCAACCTAGCAGTTTGAAAGCACGTCCAAGTCCAAGTAGATAAATAGGTATCGCTCCGGCAGGAAGGTAAACAGTGTTTCCATGCGCTGCTCTGGTTCGCCAGAAGCGGCTTAGTCATGCTGGCCACATGACCCGGAAGCTCCCTTGGCCAATAAAGCGAGATGAGCGCCACAACCCTAGAGTCGTTTGCGACTGGACCTAATGATCAGCGGTCCCTTTACCTTTACGGAAGGGTACGGGAAGCCTGTGAAGGGCTTGAGGAGAGGCATCGTGGAAGCTGCCTTATACCAAACCAGACCCATACTGTCCACACTGACTGGCAGTGGCTCTGTAGGGTTTCTCTTAGGTCAGGTATGATCTGCCTCGCCCTGCCTGGCGATGCTGAGACTGAACCTTGGACCTTTGCAGGCAAAGCAGATGGTCTACCACTGAATGACAGCCCTTCCCCATTATGGTTTGGATGGCAGGAAAGGCAACAGCCACAGATGGTGGCAAACTCGTACTGTGAACAAAACTGTAGTTTACAATTTCTCAGCAAGCAGAAATGATGTTGTCAGAGCTGCTTCAAGATCCTAGCTCACAGAGGATCACGCTAGCCAGCGATCATTAAATAAAAGTCTTTATTGAGTTACAGTTTCCATTCTCAAGCTGCTGCGTGCAACTCTACGTCTTATGGCTAGACCGGCGAAACTCCGTCTGAATCTCCGCCCCCTGTACACCAACTTAATACCCTAGCTTTACTCCACCTTTTCCGCCTGACTGTTCTTCTCTGGGTCCCTCTGCCCCCCGGGGTCTCTTCCTTCCGGGATTCTTCTGACGCTGACCCCCCGGACCCTTCTGTCTCCTTGCGCCGGGCTTTAGGACCTGGCTCCCTTTCCGGGCTGCTCACTGCGCCACCTTCCTGTGCATTTGAACTTGGCGCGCGCGCCCAACCTCCCACTTTCCGTCTGACCGTTTCTTCGCTCCCCGATGGAGGTGTGGCCACTCCTGACTCGTGCCCTCCCTCCTGTTGTGAGCTTCCAGCGCTTGATACCTGGCGCCCTTCCTCTCCCCTGCTCTCTGTGGGTGACGCTGGTCCCGGTTTCCCACTGCTCCCCTCTGAGCCCCCTCTGGCCCTTTCTTCCTGGGGTGTCCCCCTAGGCTCCCCCCTTGCCCTGGCCACTGGTGCTCCTTTCTGTGAATCTTCTGATTCACTGGAAAGACTCGGAGATCTCGGGTCGTCGTCATCACTCATCTTTTCTTCTGCCTCCTCCCCCTCGCTCTCTGTTTCCTCCCTTGCCCTTGCCTCTGCTCCTGAACCCCTGACAGATGTTGTACAATAAGATGAACTTGTTGATGCTGCCCAGACATAGGAATCGCTGCCTGATGCACAGGGGATGGGGAACAGCCCTAGGTGAATAAATAAGGAAAGGAACTGCATTCATGGGCTGTTTACATTACCTGCCACTTCTCAGCTGCAGTTGGGGAAAGGGAGGACAGTGAAGTTTCGACATCCCTCACTGGCAGAATACAGCAGAAGCCAGACACACACTCAGCTTGACAGAAAAGTGAGACAGGTCTGGATATATGTGGGGGTTTTTTTGGGGGGGGGGAGAGGGAAGGAAGCATGAGCATGCAAATAACAGTATGCTAAAAGGGTGCATGTTACAGGCACGTATACAAATCAGGACCTGATTCAGCATTTCCTCCTCCAGTTCAAGTCTGGGTTCCCCTCACTTTCACAACCCATTGGACAAACATACTGGTTCATAAATCCAAAGCCCCTTCCCTGTGCTTCACATAATCTGTCTGCTTTGGTTATGTTTAAATCACTTTGTGTGCACATTTATTGAAGTACTGGCATATCTTTACCCTTTCGCACCCTTTCGCACAAAAACAGGAGATATATATATATATATGTGTGTGTGTGTGTGTGTGTGTGTGTGTGTGTATAAAAAATATTTGGTTTAGGCTGTCCATACTGGTTCCTACCCCTCAGTGCTGTGCATAGCCAGTTTCTGCAGAGCACACTGAACAGGTTTCCTTTGAGCTTTTGCTAAAGGAGGAAATTGTACATCAGACATAAGCATGGCCAATGCACATCCACAGCATAAATGAGATAGATCAGGATGTACCCCACATCCATGCTTGTAAAATAAACATAGTTGTTCTCTGCTGAACTTTGAAAACTAAGGGCTGATTCACACTTGCCAGACAAACTTGTTATTTGGTGGGTGCACAACTTTGATGCAGGACTGCTGTGATATTAGAAGAGAGGTGTGTCCCACCTCTTTTTTACAGAATCCACAAGCCCCATTTCCCAAAGCCTCCTTGTTTCAATTTTCTTAATGGTATCTGCCACCCAGAGGCCATTAATCCTATTTTCACACTGCCTCAAGAACACTTCTCTGTGTTATATAACCCCTTGCCTGACCTGGTGCTGCCTTGGGTGAAGACCACAGGTAGATAGAGTCATCATCCAGTGTTCCAGTCAGTTCCTGGAAGGAAAGCCAGTGTCATCACACCAGGGAAACCTGCTCTGATGAGGCACAACATGGTCAGATGAACACTGCATGCTCCAGAAATATACTCAATGAGAGATTGTAAGATTTCATAAGTAGCACCACTCTGTTCACTGCCTCTAGTGCTGTCATTGACCATCTGCTGGGAGTCACTCACTTGCCAAAATGGCTTCCAAGCAGTTTATTCATTTACATTCCTTCTATAAGGGTTTCCCCCTTACAGACTACTTTAATTGCAGAGGGGTCTTGATGGACCACTTAATGATTTTCCTTGTTGTTGATGCAACTGTAATGCACTGGGATAGATACTGTGTATATATATTATTTGTATTGCATAGAATTCGAACTGTAATAACAAAATATAATATAAGAAGTGAGATAAGCAAATAAAATGCAATTAAAATCACTGTGGATATTTAATGCAGTTGAGGTGCCTTTTCCCATCTCCAACCACAAATCCACAGATGTGCTACAGACCATGTGAAGCTTGTGGACCACAGTTTTGAAATCCCTGCTCCATACCATTTTATGTCATATAGACCTCAGAGTAAAAATATGCATCAGTAATAACAAAACCAATAAAATGCAAAATTCGAAGCATACAAACAATTCATATATATATATATATATATATATATATATATATATATATATGTAGGTTTTGGTGTCCTCGGGTGTCTTCCCGTGTAAAAGTTGGGGTGTCTAGGCGACGTTTCGACGAGGTCTCACTCGTCATCTTCAGGCTGGTGTTTTCGGCTTCTTGTTACTGGAACAGTAACAATATATATTTGAATCTTCCATTTCAGAGAACAAGATTAATGCTGGTTCCAATTAATGCTGGTTTTAATTTTATTGTTATATAATTTTATGTTTATAATTGATTAATGATTATTCATTTTGAAACTACATGTTGAAAGTTCCACATGAAGAGAGTTCTGCCTGGAAACTCAGTCCATAAATGCTTTAGATATACAGGAAACTCTCAATTTACACAGGGGTTACATTCCGAGGAACTGTGTTTTTACGTGTATATCGTGTGCATCAGGAACACCATTTAAAAACCCTGCAAACACCCTCTAAACTTATGGAAACCCTTTAAAGGCAGCCCTTTGAAGTTTGAAAGGATTGATGTTAAGCCAGATGGGTGGGGTATTATTATTATTATTATTAATAAAAACCCTTAAAAAGCACCCCAAAATCCACCAAATTCCACCACAATTGCCCCCTCTAAACCTCCTTGCTCAAATTCCAACTCTCCAAAGGCCCCAAAGGTTGGTACAAAGGCTCATGGGATTGCTAGATGCTATTTTTGTGCCATTGTTGCCATTTTTGCACCCTTTTAGGATCACTTTTTGCCCCCTTTCAGGTTTGTGGCAATGCACACATGTGTGGATGCCCGTGCCCCAAACACGCATAAATGGGATGTTGCCTGTATACATAAATAAAAAGGAAGGTGTGGCAGGGACAGAGGGACTTTGGGATTCCCAGACAGCCTGGCAAACTATCAGGGATGATGGGAGCTGCAGCTGAGCAACATCTGGCAGTCCACAGGTTTTCCCATTCCTGATCCAAAAGCTGCGGAAGAGGGTATTTTTCATTCTTATTCCCCAGAGCCTCCATTAGGCACCAGGAAACCTGCTAAGCTTGTTACATGTCCATTTTTCTTTTTTTATTACCTTGGAGACCTGTTGTCAGATGGAAAGCCAAGCGTGTAAAGATTTTAATAAATGAACGGATGCTCTTGTCTCTCGGCAGGAAATCAAAGCCCGGGCGGCAGCATTCCGGCAACAGCAGGGCATTTCAACAGAAGCTGGGGGCAACAAGGAGAATATCAAGAAGAACCGTTACAAAGACATCCTGCCATGTGAGTTGCCAATGAGGAAATACTACTACTGTGTGGTGGCTTTAATATTGGCATCTGTGGCATGGGGCCAGTTCTGCTCAACTTGGCACTCACTTCCTCTTCTATGGATCAGGCTGTGTTACCACATTCCTCTTGGGCTCCTCCACCCTAGGAGTGCCTTGAATTGTCTTTCATTTGCTCGTGTCACCAGCAAAATATCCAGTGAGTGTTGCCATGTCCCAGGCTGTAGTTCTCGCGATTCAGGGCCTCAAAGCATCAAGTTAGACCCTAGATCCATCAGCTACTCTCAAATTATAGGAATTTTGTGGCAGTCCTATTGACTATAACAATATTGTTTTAAAAGTTTACTTTTTAAAAATCACAACATTCTGAAAAAAGAAAATATTGCATATGAAGAGGAGGTTTCCTTCTTTCTCCAAATATCCATCTTTTCTCTATTGTAAAAATCATGGCCAAGGAATCATTCCAAGAATTAGAAAAATCTGTTTTTCTCTCCCCCTCCCCTGATTTTTTTTTTGTTTTTCCTGGGCCTTCACATCTCTAGCTCTATCCCTTTAGCAGCTGCTCACACTGTCCTTGTGTGCCTGACATCATGAGGAACCTTTCTATTCTGGGATGGGTCTTAATGGGTAGGAGAAGATATATTCATTGCAATTAATCTATCCAGGCTCCCACATGTGTGGGTTGAACAGTTTCAAAGTCCCATCCTTGGCAGCAGAATTAAGCATAGGAATTTGGCTGTAAAACCTCATTTAGAGGGAGTCCTGCTATGAAGTAAGCTGGCTCTCCCTTCTTACCCCGCTGAACAAAGAATCAGGCAACTACAGTAAGTTTAAACTTACTGTTTAAAACAGAAGAATTTCTTACTTATAATTTGCATTGGTTCCCAGCAGTGGCAGCAGTAAAAGCTATGCTGGCAAAATACTTAGATTTACAGTACAACCAGCTTCAGGCATGTACCTAAAGCGAGAGCAAACAGAGATATCTCTGCATCCAACGCTAGTCAAAGGAAGAAAGAGAGGAAAAGGAAATACAATATGCTCCTTCCTCTCCCGGAGAGTAGGGGAAATGACATCACACAGAGCCCTCTCTGCCAACTGTATTTCTATGGTCTGCCTATCAGCAATACAGCTCTGTGGGCTTAGCCCCTTCTCATGCAAACTAGCAGGAATGTGCATTTCTAAGGTTTGGCTGCTACTCTTCCACACCTATGGCATCACTGCAGCTCATTTAGTGAGTCTCAGGATTTGGGATGCTGGAAACCAGGGGCAGTAACTGTATCCAGAACCCTGCCCAGGAAATTTAAATAAAGCTCCAAGCCAATAAGGAGGCCAGACTGAGGAAGTTAACTAATGGATGAAAAGTAATCAGAGGAACTGCAAAAAGTGGAAGTTGATACTTTCTAAGGTGTGCGCCTTCATTTTAGGAACGGAACAATCTGCCACTGCTCTCTGGAGGGTGGTCAGAAGGACAGAGTGGTTGTGACGCTAGTGATGATGAGCAGATACTTTACCTTGTTTTTGGTCTGTCTTAGTTTCTCAGGCTCTGCTCCAGGGCTTCCCAGAGGAGTATGGTTGGCCACTGTGAGAACAGGATGCTGGACTAGGTGGGTCATTGGCCTGATCCAGCAAGTCTCTTCTTATGGACCATCTAATTCAGGGGTCCTCAAACTTTTTAAACAGGGGGCCAGTTCACTGTCCCTCAGAGACTGTTGGGGGCCGGGCTATAGTTTGAAAAAAATATGAACGAATTCCTATGCACTCTGCACTTTTTTTTCTTTAATATTTTTTTGGGGGGGCCCAAGAGAGTGGGGCCCTAAGCTATAGCTTGTTTAGCTTATATGTAAATCCGGTACTGGGGGGAGGGTGTTGTGCCTTGTTGTGGTGCACCTGTGGGGTGAAACTAAGAAAAAGCGATTTGGGTGGGTGGGTGTGAAGAGAGGTCGGAAGCACCTGTGGCGATGCCGAGAATGGAATTAACGGAGACCCTGGCAAAAGAAGGAAATGCTCAGATGGCAACAGAAATGCAGCAAGGCACTTCCTCCCGTGGCAGGAGGGAGGCGGGCTGCGAGAGGAGGGCCATAGGCCCGTTAGACAGCGGTGGATTCAACAATTGACAGGCGGGCCGGGTTCAGGACCCTGGCGGGCCAGATCTGGACCATAGGCTGTAGTTTGAGGACCCCCAATCTAATTGCTCCAGGAGCTCTCTTTGTGAATAGTGCTATGCACAGATCCACGGGATGAATGTGAAGCAAGACAAACCTGTCCACTTACTTGGGCAATACCTGTGGAGCAATGCTCACCTTGGTGGGGTCTCTCCTAGGCTATCTTCTCAGGGGGGTTGAGGACATACCTCTCAGGGTGCTACTCTCTGGTCAGTCGTCTGTACACTATGACCTTAGGCGCACCAAGCCATGGGATCCAAACAGCACCAGTGGTTCAATGTAGTCAGGGGTTTGGTCACTGACTTCACAATCTCTCTCCTCTTTCCATTTCCTGTCAATTGAGAGCAGGGTTAGGCTAAGCTGTGACCCTCCAGATGTTTCTGGAGTGCAGCTCCGCCCATGCCCTGACCATTGGCTATGCAGCTGGGGCTGCTGGGAGTTGCAGTTCTGAGGGAACCACAGGTCAGATGCTGAGATTCATGTTCTCTCTCTCTCTAAGACCAGGTGACTATCTGTGGTACTAACTCCCAGTTGTGTGCATCTCACAGATGATCAGACCAGAGTTGTTGTGAACTTCGTGACAGAAGAAGCCCAAGCTGATTACATCAATGCAAACTTTATTCAGGTAACAGAGTCCTGAACCCTACCCCTCCCCATTGCAAACACATCTGAATAGAGGAATTTTCCCAAACTGATGAGAGCTGAAACACTGGCAAGCTTTGTTCCAGATTAAAGCGGGGGGGGGGGGCTCAGTTCCCTATTATACCATCCAAAAGATTTTACTTTTGCACTGTGTAAGTGTAAGAATGGCATTGACCTGCCTCCAGAGAAACCTCCCCCCAGGGCCCCTCAGGTCGACCACAAAATGGCACTTCTCTCCCCACCAGGGAGGGAGGGGTGGGTCAAGAGCTACGCCAGGAACAAGGGGGAAATGAAGATCTACATTGGGATCTGCTGCCCCTGGGGATCCTGCCTCACTTTGCCTCATGGCTGGTCTGGTCATGTTTTTATAGGCCTCAGTGACTGGCCTGTGCCTCATGACTGGAAGGAGAAATGCCCAAAGCAGTGGTAAAAGAGGCAGCCAACTCTGACAGCAAGTAGCTTGGCGGCATCTTTTGTGTCAGAGTGACTGAAGGCTCCAGTATCCCTGCAGAGGTGCAGGCAGCATCCTGCCCTTCCCCCAGGTGAAGATGCTTGGAAGCATGCAAGGCCAGTTTAGCAAATGATGCAAAGATCCAGCAGGTGACCTCCATGAAGAAGGGGGGCTTTTGTCCCATAGTAGCCTTTTCATGATTTTATTTTATTTCTCAAGGTAAGCTAGTTGCGTGTCGAGACCCCACAGCCACCCCCTCGTTGGGAAATAACTCACACAAGGACACAGATATTAGGTTTATGTTACTGGGCAAATTTTGGCCACAACTTTATTGAATTACAGAATGTGAGCGGTATTGGCTTAGGCATTGATTGGACCTGACTATATCTGACTCTGTGCAGGAAGTCCAGTACTGTAAGGGTAAGCCACCGGTAGGGGGAGCCCTGTTGATGCGAGCCAGCTCAAGCTCCCCCTGGTGTTCCTATCGGGGTCGTGTCAAAGCCCTAGCCCCCAACCGGGCTTCGGACAAGATCAACACCCCCGGATTCCTTTAACGGAATACCCTTAAGATGGAGGGGCAGGTGATGGCCACACCTCCCCTCCCCCACACAAGGTCAAAAAATGCCTAACCGCAACCCTAACAAAGTTGTGACGATTGCTACGAGGTAGGCAAAAGCCAAGTGGCCAGTGCCAATTTGCCAAGTGGAAAAATTCCTACCAGGCCCCTTGGACAACCAAGGCGACCAACCGAAATCCATAGCAAGGCCAGTGCCTAACCTGCAAATAGGGAGGGAGGGTGATTGAGGAAGCGAGCTCGCTCCTCGGTTTAAACTGTCCCAGCCACACCCCGCCGGCCAGCGGATTGGCTGGCTGGTCTCTGACGTGGCCGGGATCCCCCAGGCAATGGGGGACAAAGTCCCCCGCCCCCGGTGGGGAGTGGGTGGCCATGCGGTCCACCGCAACTCCTCCCCACTGGGAAGTGGAGCAGATAAGTTCCATCAGGCACACTAGAATGGCATTATGGCAAAAGACAGAATTGAAGGCTCTTCCTACCATCAGTTAAAAGTCCCAGTTTACTAGAATACATTTCTAGTCCTCATGGTTAAAATTGACAGTGGGATGACAACGTACTCTAAAGACTCTTGGGAATCCTAAATTTAGCGATAAGATACATGCACTCCCCAGGAGCTGACTTAAATTTTCCACATTTGAGAATATTGCTTTGAGAACATGAATGTTATAGAAGTGGACAATACATACCCCAGTTGCAGTTTAGCACTGACCATTCTATTTACAATGGAATGCAAAGTATTTTTGTCAAGCACAAATCAAATGGGTGAATTATCCAAAGCCCTCTGACTCATTCTAATCTCTAACCAATTGCCCTCCCTCTCCTTTGTTTATCCCCACTTATCTTCAAATAGAATGCTGTTCTCCAGCTCAGGGGTGATGACAGGGTGTTCTGCAGAATGCATGATGTTCAGTTCACGTTTGCGATTCTCTTTTCTTCCCACAGGGTGTGGATAACAAGCAGTGCTATATTGCAACCCAGGGGCCTCTTCCACACACAGTGCTGGACTTCTGGCGCATGATTTGGCAGTACAAGGTGAAGGTGAGTTGTCCAGGCAGATCACAAGTAATATCCTAGATATTAAAGCAAGCTCTGAAGTGCAAATTGTGCCCAGCAGATTGGATTGATCTGTATAAGACCAGTTTCTCTGACACCAAGGCATCTGGTGAACAGTCCCTCTCAAAGCAAATTCAAATTAATGTTTCTGCTCCTTTATGGCAGCGGCAAGGAAACCTTTTTCAGCCCGACAGCCACATTCAGGTCTGTGAAACCTTCTGGGCCACATCCCAGTGGTGCCAGAAGCAAAAGTGCACAGAGCAGCAAATGTAAATTTTACCCATGCACCGTAGTACAGTTTCTACACACCCCGCTGTTCTCTCTGGGCCTGGCGTTCTCCACCACTGCTTCATGATGTCCTTTCATTGCAGGTGATTGTCATGGCTTGTCGGGAAGTGGAACTAGGCAAGGTGAGGCCTCCTGAAGGAGAGATGGTATTTGGAGGCTAGGAAGCCTCATGGGGTCTCTCGTCCGGGCCTTGAGGTTTTGAGGACAGCCATGTTACCTAACCTTTCTTGCTTTCCTATGCCTTTTCTTTCTCAGAAAAAGTGTGAGCGCTACTGGCCTTTGGCAGAGGAAACCTTGCATTTTGGATCCTTCTCTGTGGCACAGGTGAGGTTGTTACACATGGACAGGAAGAAGCTGCCTGCGGAAGGAGGATGCTGGCACAGTTCTTCATCAATGCACAAGCACAGGCATCTCCACTGCCAACCTAACCTGGATTAAAGGCCATTTCTTCTCACTAAGGAAGGGCTGGGAATTGTCGTTAAGAACCTGAGAATTGCCTTGTTAGATCAGACCAAAGTCCCATCTCATCTAGCATTCTGATGCCAGCAGTCGAAACCAAGCAGATGCACCTGCTGGAAACACACAAGAAGAGTGCAAACATGATGCCCTCCCCTGTTGCAGGACTGGCTGACTATCCTGCCATCCTCATGATGTCATTGGATCCCAGTTCCCATGAGCCCCATCAGCATGACTGATGGCCAGGAATGATGGGAGTTGTAGTGCAGCTATCCCTTAAGGGCCACGGGCTCACTATAGCTGCCACATAGTTTGTGCACAGTCTCTGGTAAAAACATTAGGTCCGGTCGTGACCGACTCTGGGGTTGTGGCGCTCATCTCGCTTTATTGGCCCAGGGAGCCGGCGTACAGCTTCCGGGTTGTGTGGCCAGCATGACTAAGCTGCTTCTGTCGAACCAGAGCAGCACACGGAAACGCCGTTTACCTTCCTGCCGGAGCGGTACCTATTTATCTACTTGTACTTTGACGTGCTTTCAAACTGCTAGGTTGGCAGGAGCAGGGACCGAGCAATGGGAGCTCACCCCATCATGGGGATTCAAACCGCCGACCTTCTGATCGGCAAGTCCTAGGCTCTGTGGTTTAACCCACAGCGCCACCCGTGTCCCACAGTCTCTGGTACTTGGAGGTATATTGCGCTTAGAAATTTTGCTCTCTTACCAGACATAATGTTAGCAGCTGGCACCCTTGGGCAATTCCTGGGCCCTGGGCCCTTCCACACTGAGCAGCTGGATCTTCAGGCTGACACCTAACATTTCCCACCATGTTCCCCACTGTTGCATTGCTCCAGAGCACAGAGGGAAATTTGAAAGAGCAGTTCATGGCACACCCATTCCTGCCACCCTCAGCCCACCAACATGGAGGCCGGGGGCACCAAATTTCCCTTTACAGGGGGCCCCTGAAACCTGGAACTAGCCCTGCTCATCACAAAGAGATACTGAAAGGCCTTTCTCCCTGGGAGTTAATTCATCTTTTTTTGAGAACCAGCTAAGTTACCTTTGCCATTTCATGTGTCAGCGAACTCCATAAGCTGCATCACATGTTGTGTGGCTACAAGGTGCTTCTTGGATCCGTCCCATACTTAATTCCTGCCCAGTCAGGAATTTGCCTGATCCCATGTCAAACCATTAGTCCGTCTAGCTCAAAATGGGATGTTTAGGGAAGTTTTTAATGTCTGAAGTTTTATTCTGTTTTTAATGTTCTGTTGAAAGTTGCCCAGAGTGGCCTAGGAAACCCAACCAGATGGGTGGGGTAGAAATAATAAATTATTATTATTAGTAGTAGTAGTATTAGTATTATTAAATTGCCTGCACTGACTCCAGGCTTTCAGATGGGGCTCTTTCCCAGCCTTTCCCTGCAGATGCCTTGGATTGAACCTGGGACCTTCTGCAGAAAGGCATGGTCTCTGCCCCTGAGACTTCTTCTGCAGTGAACTCCATCCATTGGCAAGAGTATTGAGAATTTGGTCAAAGTTCCCGAACCCTTTCACAAAATGACAATCGCCAGGGTTTAAGTTTGTCAGGAAGCTATTTCTCATGTCAAGCAAGCTATCCCATAAAACAGAACTGTGATGGTTAACAAAACACTGTCCAATTGTACCTACATTAGAGATAAGGAACCTGTGGATCTGCAGATGTTGCTGAACTACAGTTCCCACCATCCCTGAGCTTTGGCTACACTGACTGAGGCTGATGGGATTGAAGAGTTCTCTATCTCTAGCCTATATTATAGGTGGGCAGCGTAACTGAGCAAATGAGATGTCTCCCATTTGGGGAGATAAGAATATTTTGAACAACGTGATGGGCGGTTTTCCTGTCTCTTCCTCAGGTTAAAGAACAGGAACTCAATCCAGATGTCATTCTGCGGATGCTTACCCTGACCTTTCAGAAGGTAAAGCTACTCCATGGCACTTAATTGCTAGGCAAGGCCCACTGGAATTGTGGGGCACACCCAAGTCCAGGTCTTGGGGCTGCACTTTATGGCTCTGGGGCCTCAAGGTCAGCTGCATGAGCTGGAAACTGAAGGAGCAGCAAGTAGAAAGCACTGCTCTGTGGACCAGGCAGGAGCACAACGCGGGGCTCTGAATATTTATAGCAGGCTTCGTCCTGATTGCCTGGAACCTTATCAGGCTCTGCCCAGGCCCTATCCCTACTATGGTTGCTGGCAAAATCAGCTTCTTTGCTGCTGAGTGAAGCACCATTCCTTTTGACCACTGTTAAGAGACTGGTGTGTTCCACAAACAGGGGAGAGCGCTCAGAGATCCAGGTCGGGAAATGTCAGTGTTCCTTCCAGATCCCTGCGGCAATGGCACAGGAGAAAAGGAGCCCCTGCTGCAGTGCAGTCATTTCATTACCACCATCAAATACCAAGGGGTTTGAGACCCACAAGGAATCGTCCAGGGCCAGATAAGGCCTGTGCGTTTAGGGTTTGCCACCGGTGCTGTAGACAGGCCTTCACGGGACCAGAGTTCCAGAGTTCCTTGGTTGAAGACAAACCATTCAATAGTCTTGAAGAATGGGTTTTAATTTGAGGTGGCATCAGGTGCTTGCATTAGCAAACATAAACATGTCAGAGGGTGCAAATGGCTTTCCTCTCCTACCACCTGTTCTGTGTCAGCCCCATTCAGACGTGGTGATATTGATCTGTACCTCTCCCCTCCCCCCAGGAGGAGCGGGAGCTATCCCATTTCCAGTACGTGGCTTGGCCAGACCGGGGCATCCCAGACACTTATGGCCACTTCCTTGGCATGATTGAGCAAGTGAGAAGCAAGCAGGGTGAGAGTACTGTGCCCATCTGTGTGCATTGCAGGTAAGGGGCAGCCCCAGGGCAAAGCCCTATAGACAGACCACACCACAGTTGTGGGGTCAGAGGATGGGTCCTCTTAGAGGATCAGTAACTGGTTAAAGGGAGCAAAGAGCAGGAACAAATGGGCTGTCCCCACAAGTCACAAAGGAGAGAAGCACAGAGTCTCCCAAGGATCTGCACTGAACTTGTTGTGCTTTAACCCATTCATAAGTGATCTGGAGTTAGAGGGGAGCAGTGAGGGGGTCAAGCTTGGGCACACAGCCATATTTTTATTATTATTATTGGTATAATAAATTTTATTACAAGTCCAATAAAAGCCACATTGTCACATTACCAAATTACAATCCAATTAAAAAGAAAGAGAGCCTATTATTCAAAAACTAAATTAATCAATTTGAGATGACTTCCCATGTACTGGCTTTCTGGTTACAAAGTTCTTATGTCTTCCTCCTTTCATAATCTTGATTAATCCAATAACAACAGTTCTGACCTTAATCCTTTGTTGACAGCCACTTGTTTCTTGACTTCCATTCGTAATTGCATATTTAATAACTTTTATTTCTGCAAGCAGAATTTATATCCAATAAATTTCCTGTGTGATATGTTAATTCCAGTTGTTTCTTCCTTTTCCCTGCTTTAACTCGATCATAAAAGGCACCTATGCTTCCACATTTTCGTTTTCACTTCTGTTCTCAGAAGCTGTTATTTCCACTGCACCATCTTTGTTTGTCTGAGCGAAGGTCTGGCACTCCGCCATAGCCCCAGGCAGAACTCCAACATATCCTTTCTCTTCCAATACTTAGTTCTTAATGATCTGGTGTCCTGCCACTGCTCTGGTGGATCAAGGAACCATAATCTTAACTGCAATTCAGTGGAAGTTAGAAGCTTCAATCGTATCAACATTCTCACGCAGTCCCATTTCCATTAAAAAATCCATAAATATTATCTTATTCTCTTTGATTTCCTCTTGCTTTTTATCAATCCATTGATATTCTGGGAAAGAGTTGCCGAATCACTGATGCAGCCAAACGTAATATATATTCAGAAAGGGTAAAGGCTCCCCTCCCCCAGTCATACTTCACCTTGTTATGGTGGAAATCTTCCTCTCTCCAATTCAGATCGTTGTCGCTCAGTGGCTGATTTATTTAGCAGTTTATCTTGTCTCCTTAGCCCAGTACATGTCTGTAAATTAGATCCTATTAAAATTCCAAAGTACAGAAGAACTGCCAATAAGCGAAGCGCATTGCACCCAGCGCCTCCTGCCTCCATCTGGAGTGAGAGCCGGGTATCAGAAGATCTGCAGGTGAAGCTCACCCCCTCCCCGGACATGGGGGTGGGGAGCTTATAAGGACAATTGCCTCGTTATTCTTGTTTATACAGTGGTACCTCGGGTTACATACGCTTCAAGTTATATACGCTTCAGGTTACAGACTCCGCTAACCCAGAAATAGTGCTTCAGGTTAAGAACTTTGCTTCAGGATAAAAATGGAAATCTTGCTCCAGCGGCGCGGCTGCAGCAGGAGGCCCCATTAGCTACAGTGGTGCTTCAGGTTAAGAACAGTTTCAGGTTAAGAACAGACCTCCGGAACGAATTAAGTACTTAACCCTAGGTACCACTGTACTTCACCTGCCAGTCTCCGCTACTGCGAAGCTCTGCGCGCATTTTGACAGGAAGCACCGGAAGTCCACACTGCCATTATATTTATGGGGATGAACCAAGAAGATTTTTCTGAAATAATTTCTTGAAACAAAATGGCAAAGTGTTCTCATTTGTATTGCAATTCCTGGCTGGATGTGATCTGAAAGAAGGTCTGTTATTTTGCAGACCCTCTCTCACCCTCTTTCCTCCTCTGCAGTGCTGGCTGTGGCCGGACAGGTGTGATCTGTACCCTGGAATACATACGGCAGCTGCTCCTGAAACAGGTATTTCTAGGCAAGTCAGATCTGAGGGATGGAGGATTGAGGAAGCTGGGTGGATTTGTTCCAATATTTCTGTCTGTTGGAACAACAAATATCGGAACGATGTTTGACCAGACACTGTTGCTGTTTTCTTGTTTAAAGAGTGACTGTGTGTCTGGCTATTTCTTGGCTGGCTGGGTGGATAGGCAGACAAACGGACAGACAGATGGATAAAATGTCATGTAGACTTTGTTTTTAAAAATGGTGTTTAATTGAAATATGATTAGAATTTGATTTTAATAGAATTTGCCCCTTCTTCCCCAAAAGAGATGGAATTCCTGAAGCATCTCTGTTTGGAATATGTTCGGAATAGAACCAGGTGTGACGAGTGCCTGTTCTGGCTTTGCCAGTGAGTGTGTGTTTTGTAGTGAACCTCTTGCTACATCTGTGCATTGCATGCAACACTTTAATTAAATCTGTTTTCTATATATGGCAGAACTCTGGACATTGTTTATTCATTTAGAGCATTTGAACCCTCCTCCTCAGCCAAAAAGGCTCCTGAAACAGCTTACATATAATCCATGGAAACAAGACTGTCCCCTCCTAGGAACCAATTCAGTTGTTCATAAACTAGCTTATCAGAATAAGACTATTACTTACAAGTAGTTTTGTTTTTACACTTGGAGGTGGGGATAAGTGTTCAAAAATATAACCTTTCTCCAGCCGTCTGAGTTGACACAGTCCATAACTTCATATATAGCCTCCATCTGTATATAAAATGAGGAACAAAAATGTCCCTTGGAGAGGACTATTGCACTGCAGAGTCTCAGCTCCCACAACAAACATCAAGATACAGTACTTGGTTGATCCCTGCAAAATTCGCATCTTCCCTTGCCTTCTGCTTCTTTGGGGAAGATACCTCTTATGATACCCTCACATAGCTCAGAGGAAACAGCAAATGAAATAGGGAGTAGTAAAGCAGAGTGGCAAATGTGGGAACCCAAATGAAGGTCCTTGAGTCAGATATCATGCAGCCCTGTATCAGGAAGTTTTTAATGTCTGATGTTTTACTGTAAGCCGCCCAGAGTTCCTGGGGAAACCCAGCCAGATGGGTGGAGTATAAATAATAAAATTATTATTATTATTATTATTGCCGACATTTCCCCAGTTCTCCTCTACTTTTCAGAGAATCCCCCCGCATTTCAGTATTTTTGATGTTGTCCTAGAAATGAGGAAGCAGAGACCAGCTGCTGTTCAGACCCAGGTGAGCCCCCGCAGTCATCGCTCCTGTCCACACCAATACATTTTGCTGCCCGAAGCAAAGATGATGTGTGTCCTCACAGAGTTCCCCAGCATTCTAAGATGGCTGGACTGGCAGCTGAATCTGGCAAAGGGACGGCACCAGTAGCTAGGCAGGGGTGAATTGCCCTGGGTGGCGCTGGGCTTGCAGGGTACCCAAACCACCACATCGCTCCCGGTGCCCTCTAGCTGGATGGCGCCCGGCAGGGACGCAGTCACTCTGGCAGCGCACCGCATCCCACAGTGTGCCCTCCCCCATTGCGCTGCGCAGGTGCCCGCCTCAGGCACTGGTGGGGCTCACTCCAGCACTAGACAGTACCCCACACTGCACCAGGGGGCAGCAGACTAATTTAGTGTACAGGCTCTTTATCTTCATATCTTGGTATTTGGTGTTCCTAAAGCAGGGGTCGCCTCGAGGGCTTCACCTGATGTCCCAAAAGGCTTCTGAGCTCCCCTGATGCTCTCACCACTTAATCATGAGGGGCTGAGGGTGGTTACCTTTTCTCCCTTGGAAAACCCACAGAGCTGAAGGAGGAAGTGGGAAGGCGGATGTTTTTCCCACCTCCTCTTTGGGCTGCATGGGCTTCTCAAGGCTCCTATGAATTCTTTGCGATCCAAGTTTTGCCCGGTCCCTTGGAAAAGCAAAGTGAGTGCACACGTCCTCTCCTTCTGTCAGTTGTGGGTAAGCTTTTCTGGGATTGTAGGATGCGGGTGGCGCTGTGGGTTAAACCACAGAGCCTAGGGCTTACCGATCTGAAGGTCTGCAGTTCGAATCCCCGCAACGGGGTGAGCTCCCATTGTTCAGTCCCTGCTCCTGCCAACCTAGCATTTCGAAAGCACATCAGAGTGCAAGTAGATAAATAGGTACTGCTCCAGCGGGAAGGTAAACGGCATTTCCATGCACTGCTCTGGTTCGCCAGAAGCAGCTTAGTCATGCTGGCCACGTGACCCAGAAAAACTCTGTGGACAAACGCCAGCTCCCTCGGCCAATAAAGCGAGATGAGCACTGCAACCCCAGAGTCGTCTGTGACTGGACCTAACGGTCAAGGGTCCCTTTACCCTTTATCTTTAGGACTAGAGAAGGCATGGCACCCATGGCACTTGCTCAAAAATTCCACTGTGTCCATGGGCCTCAAAAAGTTGGTGACCGCTTCCCTCGAGTGTGGCTGAACCTTAAGGGCATTCGGAGCTTCCCTTTATAGATCAACGTTCTCCTCTCATATCTCATATCTCCTCTTTTCTTGGCAGGAGCAGTATGAGTTTGTATACCATGCGGTCACTGAAATGTTCCGGGCTGCCCTGAGTTTATCTGACTCAAACTATGAAAACGTCAAAGAAGTAAGAGACAAATCCAAACTAAAAGCAACACTGGAGTTACTGGAACTTCCCACATAGGGCAGCTTTTCCTCATTCATCTGTGAAAGTTGGCAGAAGAGGTGGGGGGTGTTGTTGTAGTCCTCAGTGGAGATCAACCCATTGCAGTTTCTCCTTGGATTGCTGTTTTGATTGGGGAATCTGAAAACAGACACTTCTAGCCCATAGACCTCCAGTTTTTGAGGGGCATAAATTTCTTCATGAGTTTTAATCAAACTTGACCAAATATTTAGTTGATCCTTCGAAGCCTTTCTGAGTTATATTTGTGAGCTGAATTCATAAATGTCACAGCAGATTCCTGAAGATTGTACCTGCAGTTGTGGCTTTAGCTCTCATAATTTTGTTACTGCAAATATTTCATTTTCTTCAAGGAACTCAGGGCAGCATACATGGTCTTCCACTGCCCCATCCTGGCCCCTGCTTTAAGAGCGACTATCCCAAGGTCACCCCGGGGGGTGGGGGTGTTATACCTTCGTGTCCCAGGTCCACACTGGCTTTGAATGCATGTTAAGAAGAGGAAAAGGACTAATCTTGGTTTCCCAGGACAACTGCAATGCTATCCCCTTCCTTTTTTGCAGGGGTTGAAAAACTGCAGCCCTCCAGATGAACCTCAGCCAATATGGGCAGTGGGCAGGGATGATAGGAGTTGCAGGCTGCCTTCACACGGCATGTTTAAAGCTCATTTCTTCCCCATTTTAAGAATCCTGGCAATGGAGGGAAAGATACAGGCAGCTACTATAAAAGCAAACCCAGCTAGCTGTCTTTCTCTCTGTCTGTCTCTGGCACACAAGTGCAAGTGCACACATTCCCCTGCCGGGAATCTGTGCTTTGAGGAGGTTCCTCTTTCATATTCACTTCCCCCCAAAATGGCCTCTTATCTTTCTGATCTACTAACTGGGGAGTTCCAGCTGTGTAAGTCTGATACCACAAGAATCTGGAGGCTCTGTGGCTTTAGGTTACTTTCTGTGGGCTTGGGAGGGGCAAAAGTGACAGCAAAGTGAGTGAGATATGATGGTGGCCCCATGGGCATAGGTAGGATTTTTGTTAGGGGGACAGAACCAATGTGATGGGTCAGTTAGTTAAGTATTTCTATTGTTTTACTTGCCCCCCCCCAGGTTACACCCATGGGTGGCCCAGAGACTGGCATTTGAAGGCCCCTCAGGCTCACAACTGGGCAGGGAGACAAGAAGTAGCCCATCAACTGCTTCAGACTTTTCATAGCCAAGCTTCTCAGGGCTTGTCCACATTTGAGCTGGATCTTGCTTGGAGACGACATTTTATCCTTTTGAATTTGGCTTCATTAGACCAGTGCACCCGCCAGTGCCACAGCTATTTGGGGGGTGGGGTTTGCTCTGGGTGATGCCTCCCAAGGGGCACCATTGAGGCTCCCAGCCTGTGTGTGTATGCAAATGCACGTGGGGTGCCATTACTGGGTCTTTGACCCGAGTGAAAAAAAAGCCTAGCTTCACCGCTACACACACAAACACACAAACACACACACACTTCAACTGCAGTTGAAGATCAAAACTGCTTGCTCCCATTCACACCAGTAGGTGTTCCCTTTTTCCTTTCCCCATCTTCCAGTTTGTTGATTCACTTTTTAAAATTCTGAACAAATGGCATGTGTGGAGAGATCAGCCGAGCAGCAAACACTTTAAACATAATTGTCTGCCCAATAATTGCACAATCCTTGTGGGAATGTACACCTCAATAAGGGGGGGGGGGTTAATAGAGAGAGGATTAGGTGGCGCACATTGGAGCCAGAGGGGAAGAGAAGTGAATGGGCAGCTGTAGCAATGGGGAGGAGGAGGAAGGGGCCCCACTGAGAGGGCACCGTGGCTGAGGAAGCCTCTCCACCCCCCAACAAGCCCTGGAACTGCCACTGAATGGGTGTATCCATCAAACACAAAATCCCCAGCTAGAGGGGAATACTGGAAGACTCTGGGCCGCCCCAGGAAACTGAAGGCTGACAAAGAAAGCCCTTCTTCACCCACTGCATAGAAGGAGTGCTGGCCACCGGCTTGGATGGCTTTAAAGGAGTAGACCAATTCATGGAGGAGAAGGCGATCCATGGCTACCAGCCGTGATGGCTCTGTTCTGCCTCCGCTGTCGAAGGCCAGATGCCCCAGTAGACCAGCTGCTGGGAATCCCAAGTGGGGAGAGTGTTGTTGCACTCCAGTCCTGCAGGCAGGCTTCCCATAAACATCTGCCTGGACAATGGGTGAGCAGAGCGATGGACCTTTGGCCGGACCCAGCAGGACTCTTCTTCTATGTAAGAAGGGTGGCAGGAAAACTACCCTTCCCAGCAATCTTCCCATCCCAGCCTTATAGGCAGGTCAGTTAAGATCTGTGCATGAAGGCTGCTCCAGGGCCTTCTTCCAGTGTAGTGCTTCTTCCCCCACACCAGCCACACCTGGATTCGGAAGAGACAGAAGTGTTTGTAAATGAAATAAACAAAAATTAGCTTGTTTTCTCCAAGCAACTGAAATCTGTGTTTGCTTTGGTGGGTTTGTCTTGCTACTATATAAAAACCAAGTCTTGTTTTTATACAATTAAACAAATTCTTAAGCACAAACACAAACTTTTATTTTACATCATCTGCGTTAATAGGCCCACTGGCTCTGTTCCTATTAATTTCTGAAGGTGTGAGCAGCTTGGCAAGGGAGCAGGGAAAGCTCCTTTCTGTGTGACTAGGCAGTCTTGACAAGGTTGTATAGCAGCCGTCCTAAGTTCTGGAACACATAGGAGGTATAAGTGATGTTGCAATAGCAGTGAAAAACAAAGAGCTAATTTTAAAAATAAATGAATGCTCACATGAATGCAGGAGTAGCTGGCCATGCAGGCGGGGGCTGATGGGAATTGTAGCCCCACAACATCTGAAGGGTATCCCGTTGGCTACTGTAGATTGAATGTGTGTGTGCCACCCTCTCAGAAGCACACAGACGTGGCTTCCTGCAAACTTCCTGCTGTAGGATGTTCAAACAGCTGTGTTGGCCTAAATCGTCCCTTACTTCCTTTCTGTTCTTCCGGATTTTGACACAGAACCGTCTTCCCCTCTATGACGACGCCCTCTCCCTCCGACACCTGGCTGTGGCCCCGCTCAAACGAAGCACCGTCCTCCACCGGTAAGGAAGGCTGAGGGAGCCTTGAAAACGGCAGCCCAGCCGTCTTGGTTTGGCAGGAAAGCAGAGCCATGCTTTGCAGTGACACCCAAGATGTGGGAGTTCTTCTCTGGGGAGGCCCAGCTGGTGCAGACTTTGGGCTGCCTTAGGAAAGGGGTCAGGACCCTCCACATTGTACAACAGGGTTCTTTCCCCCCCCCCCAAACCGGGTGCTGGTTATACATTTTCATATTTTAAGATGGTAGATGTGATTATTGATTATTCGGTTGCCTGGTTTTATGCTTTGAATGTTTATGTGGAGCTGTAGCTCATTTTGGGTTTATTCAGTGGAGAATGGCAGACACTAGTATATGGGTATTATTATATATAATAAAAAATACGGACTGTATTACAGCAGCTGTGAGCGCATCTCTCTGACCTTGGTACTCACTATTTTGACATCCTTCAAATCACAAAGCTCAGGCTCGGACATGTCAGAGGGGCATATGAAAACCATCACTTGGGTGAAGAAGTAAAGCCCTGCCTCCTTCTCATCCGTCAAGCCTTCCTCAAGACATACCTTTCCAACTGCAGCTTTCAGATTACCTCTCCTCCCCTTAATCCCTTATCTACTGCAGTCTGCCTTCCACCAATCAGTCTAGGGACTTGGATCGAGAAGCTTCCAGGCAGCCAGCTGAGAAGCACAAAACAGAGGCCTGGAAGCAGAGGCAGAGCATGGCTTGGGGCTGGAAGGCACGAACAAAGAACCCCAGCTTCACAGCTCTGTGATATAAGGAAGGAGCAGCAACTGCATGCAGTTCTTCACTAGGAAGGAGGAGAGAGAAACCCAAAAAACTCTGTGTGACCACAGCTATAATAATAATAATAATAATAATAATAATTTATTTATTTATTTATACCCCGCCCATCTGGCTGGGCTTCCCCAGCCACTCTGGGCGGCTTCCAAAAGAATATTAAAATACTGTGATACATCAAACATTAAAAACTTCCCTAAACAGGGCTGCCTTCAGATGTCTTCAAAAAGTCTGGTAGTTGTTGTTCTCTTTAACATCTGGTGGGAGGGCGTTCCACAAGGAGGGCGCCACTACCGAGAAGGCCCTCTGCCTGGTTCCCTGTAACTTGGCTTCTCGCAGTGAGGGAACCGCCAGAAGGCCCTCGGTGCTGGACCTCAGTGTCCGGGTAGAACGATAGGGGTGGAGATGCTCCTTCAGGTATACTGGGCCGAGGCTGTTTAGGGCTTTAAAGGTCAGCACCAACACTTTGAATTGTGCTCGGAAACGTACTGGGAGCCAATGTAGGTCTTTCAAGACCGGTGTTATATGGTCTCGGCGGCCGCTCCCAGTCACCAGTCTGGCTGCTGCGTTCTGGATTAGTTGTAGTTTCCGGGTCACCTTCAAAGGTAGCCCCACGTAGAGCGCATTGCAGTAGTCCAAGCGGGAGATAACCAGAGCATGCACCACTCTGGTGAGGCAGTCTGCAGGCAGATAGGGTCTCAGCCTGCGTACCAGATGGAGCGGGTACACAGCTGCCCTGGACACAGAATAGACCTGTGCCTCCATGGACAGCTGTGAGTCCAAAATGACTCCCAGGCTGTGCGCCTGGTCCTTCAGGGGCACAGTTACCCCATTCAGGACCAGGGAATCCTCCACACCTACCCGCCTCCTGTCCCCCAAAAACAGTACTTCTGTCTTGTCAGAATTCAGTCTCTCTTTTTTTTATAAGATATTTATTAAAGTTTTCAATATTAATACAATAAGAAAAAAGAAAAAATAACAAAAATACAAAAATTAAAATAATTAAAAACACATAAAATTTCCATAACTTATTTTCCATTAACTTATTTCCCAGACCTCCTCCTACCTCCCTTTTTTGTATTCCAATTCAAATTGTTAATTCGGCAAATCCTTGTCAATAAATTTTAACCTGCTTCTTTTTAATTCAACAAATCCTTATGTTCATCAAGTCCTTATCACCAAAGCCTTAGTTTTACCATATTTTTCTTTATATAACCTGCTTTTTAACTTTATCCAAACTTAATTCTCGTCCAAATCTATATAACGGTGCTTATTCTTAAAACATTTCCCTAAGGTCGAAAGAAGGTTCCCTTCCACAGATTTCCAGTTCTCCTAGAAATAAGACAAAAAAAAGATTGAACAGAAAAGCAACTTATATCATGTACCCTTCCCATTTTTCATTCCACCCACCCCCCTTCCCGGTTTCAGTCCCAACAGATCCCAAAATAAAACCATCAACCCGGTGACCTTATGTCCGAGGCTCTTAAGTCTCTCTCCTGACCCCTCTGCCAGTCTCTTTGATAGTCTTTAATATTCAAGACCAAATCTCGATGGGGCTCCCGCCCTGCAGCATCCAAGTTTCTTCCAGCCAGGCCTACGTACTTGAAAGTAAGGCCTATAGGGTATTCCACATCTTGTTTCATTCTCCTTAAGATTCCAAATGTCCCTATAGCTCCAACTTCCAACTGAATCAAATTTATAATCCAAGTGTCATATGATCTCCAGATAAGGAGATCTCTCCATTTTTCATTTTCTAATTCAGGCCAGGCTTCCATCTTCAGAGGTTTGTTTCTTCTTATTACCATCGTATCAGGCCTCAGGTTACAGCTGACCTTTTGCATCTGCAGGGTTGGGTCCCCCCCTTTTTTCTCTTCAATGGCAGCATTATTCTCCTTCTCAATTTCCTCTGTTTGTTCAGTAAGTAGAAATCCTGTACCAAGTTCTTATCAAGTTCATTGCTAGAACTGGCTCTTGTGCCCAAGGTTGTAACATTTGTAGTCAAAACACCTATTTGATCTTGCAACTTTCCCAAGAGAAAGAAAGTCTTGTTCAGTTCAGACTGTATTTCTTTACCAACTGCCATTCTTAAACATATCAAGGTCAGAAAACAATTTCTCAGCTGGTTCTTAATGCAATGTCCCAAAACTCCCTCTAGGGGGATTTAAGTTTCTTTTAACTCCTTTCAGCACAGAGCCAAAAGTTCCATACGTTAGATTGTAGCAATCCTTCCTTCTTTTAAAACATAAAATTGTAACCAATACTTACATTGTAACCAATATAAGCAGCAGAGACAAAATCCTCTTTTTGTATCTTGACAGCTAACTTGACAGCTGTCAAATTGTTCAATTACTCCTAAACCGGCTCTCACGGACCACTCCCGGGTCCAGGGGGGTGGCACGTCGGTTTTTAAATTTAGTTCTTCTCCCGCAGGTTCCCCTGCTTCCAAATAAGTTTTCTTGTAATTTCAATCGGTAGAATTAAAATCTTTTATAAAAAGTAGAGTTCTCCACGACCTTAGTTGGAGGTTCTTTGCTTTAAAATATTTACAGAAAGGGGAGGCAGACTTCCTGGTTGTACCTTCCCCAATCAGTGTCGAATTTAAAAATATTTAAAGGATCCAATTTCCGTACTACTCACGGGTTGTTGTTTTAAAGTCCCAACTGTTCCAGGAAAAGGCAGCGCTCTCCGGCAACAGCAATGCGGCTTCCCTCCACGGAAATAGCCGATGACTCTCAGCACCGCGCCGCTTCCCCCTCTTCACTTCGGAGCCCGTTGGTGGGTTCCTTAGTGGGTTGGGGGGGCGCTAAAGGTCCCATGGTCACAGGCTTCATCTGCCTGTGATTTTTGAGAGGGTCCCCGCTTTGCCGCAGCAGATACGACCCGTTTCGCGCAGAGCTGATCCCTCCAGTTCAGAGGGAGGCAGCCACTGCCGAAGGCGCCACCCCGGAAGTCTTTGTCAGGATTCAGTCTCAATCTGTTAGCCGCCATTCCATCCTCCAACCGCCTCCAGACACTCACACAGGACCGTCACCGCCTTCACTGGTTCTGATTTGAAAGAGAGGTAGAGCTGGGTATCATCCGCATACTGATGAACACCCAGCCCAAACCCCCTGATGGTCCTCCCAGCAGCTGCATGTAGATGTTGAAAAGCATGGGGGAGAGGACAGAACCCTGAGGCACCCCACAAGTGAGAGCCCAGGGGTCTGAACACTCATCCCCCCCCACCACTTTCTGAACACGGCCCAGGAGGAAGGAGCGGAACCACCGTATGACAGTGCCCCCAGCTCCCAGCCCCTCTAGACGGTCCAGAAGGATGTTATGGTCGATGGTATCAAACACCGCTGAGAGATCCAGCAGAACTAGGAAACAGCTCTCACCTTTGTCCCTAGCCCGCCAGAGATCATCAACCAGCATGACCAAGGCAGTTTCAGTCCCATGGTGAGGCCTGAATCCCGACTGGAAGGGATCCAAATGGTCCGCTTCTTCCAGGCGTGCCTGGAGTTGTTCAGCAACCACTCGCTCAATCACCTTGCCCAAGAATGGAAGATTTGAGACTGGGCGATAGTTGGCCATCATGGCCGCATCTAAAGATGGTTTTTTAATAAGCGGTTTAATAACCGCCTCTTTCAGTGGGTCTGGGAAGGCTCCCTCACGGAGGGAAGCATTCACCACCCCACGAAGCCCATCGCCCAGCCCTTCCCGGCTAGCTTTTATAAGCCAGGATGGGCAAGGATCAAGGAGACAGGTGGTTGGTTTCACTCGTCCAAGCAGCCTGTCCACATCCTCGGAGGTAACAGATTGGAATTGACTTTTGCAATTTGACTAGACAGGACTCTAGCACTCTCCCGCCCCGGCCCTGCTCCCATGGTGGCGTCTACCTCTTTCCGAATCTGAGCAACTTTATCTGCAAAAAACTTTGCAAAATCATTGCAGGAGATCATGTGGCCCGTACTGGGCCCCGATGTAACAGGTGGTTCCGCTAAATTGCGAACCACCTGAAAAAGTCTCCTGCTGCTGTTTTCTGCAGATGCAATAGAGGCGATGAAGAAAGTCAAAATGGAGAGGAGGGCAGGGGGTTCCTCTGGAAAAATCCTAGGCTGGGCTACAGCTGAGAAGTAAAATTACCACAAACCCTTCCTCATGCATAAGATTTCTTAAAGCAATTATTGTTCCTAAATTGTTTTATACTCCTCTGCAGAGGAAATAACTAAAAGAAATCACTTGAGAAAATGTACATGTACATTTTGTGCATTACAAATATGCATCCTTTAAAAATATATATACCGGTAACTTCAGTAGCCTGACTCATAAACTCTTATCCTGAGAGAGGTCCCTTCGCCTTTTGTGGAGATTTCACATAAACCTCTGTGTTCCCTGATCCAGGAGCATCTCGGTGCCGGTTGACCCTCAGCCCACATCAGCGCCAGAACAACCACCCAAGCTCATCAGGGACATGGGTGATACCTATGCGGTTGTGAACAAGCTCCAGCGAAGTGGACTGGGCGCTTCTCCTCCTCCTCCTGCTCCAGGCAACGAGGCCCCGCTTAGTGGAGAGGGACCCCTTTATGCCGCAGTGAAGCCTCGGATGAGCAATGTGCCCGACACCTTGGCAATTGACCCCAGTGCCTTTGTAGGAGTGCAAGCCAGTCACTCGCTGCCTGGAAGCCCCATCCACCGGCCAGCTTCTGCGGCAACCTGCGAATACGCCCAAATTAACCCAGGTGATGTGAAGTAATAGTTTGTGTGCACTTAAGAATTTGTATAACTGTATAACAATAAGACTTAACATTTATGTAGTAGTTTTAAGTGCTCCAGTTCTTTTATAGTAATAATAATTTTATTATTTATATCCTGCCCATCTGACTGGGTTTTCCCAGCCACTCCGGGCAGCTCCCAGCAGAATAGTAAAAACACAATAGAACATCAAAGATTTAAAACTTCCCTAAACATTATCTCAGTAACCCTAACATCTGGCCTGCAAGATATGGCAGGTCAGCGTTATCATCTCATGTTGCAGACATGGGGGAAGGGATGCCAGAGCACACCTACTTGACAAAAAGGGTCACCTGGAACTGGTGGTGACACTTGCTGTTGAGCCAACATGCACAGGCTGTTATCTAGCTAATGACAGAAGATACATTTGAACTAAGGATGTCCCTGGATCATAGCACATTTTCTTAAAATACTGTGCTAAACTAGCTCTGTGAATATCGTATGATTTCAATGCAAGTGAACAAGATTCTAGTCATCATGACAAATTTGGATTTGGGGGTATTTCATGGGGTTTTTCTTTGGGTGTACAGAACCCAAGCAAATTCAAATGGGAATTCACAAAGGCTGCAAACATAGATTAGATGTAACTAATAAAATCCATAGTAAAACATTAAAGGCTGCAAATATCATTCTTCAGTCATTTTTCCTGGATTGTTTTATTTAATATTTTAATGTGTTGTAATCCACTTTGATTTCCCCCCCCCTTAAGAATATAAAGTGGTATAGAAATAGAAATACAATAATATAATCTTTATTGCGGCCCAACGACCCATAACATGGATTCAGAATAAAATACAGATTCATACAAAGAACCCCCCAGGGAAGGGAGACCGAAGCACTATTGGTTTAGTCATGGATATGTTGATCTGGCTTTGGTGAAAAGACTCCGATATGTTGGTACAGACAAATTTCTAAGATATGCAGGCGTCTGAAACTCGAACCCATAGTGAATTCCTACTGCTAATGGGCCACAGATAACATGAGATTGAGATCGGAGATCACTATGTGATATGTTTCAGAGGCTTTGCCTCAGAGATTCAAGGGTGGTATCATAGCCCAGATGGTACAGGAGAGAAGGTGGCATACCAAGCCAAGTGGCTTTTCTAACCATCATTTTCATCTATGAGCTGGCAAACTCCTCGTTGTTTAGGTATGGAAGGTATGGAACCCCTTCCCTAGGCCAAAGACTGAGATCTTGAGCCAGTATCTCAGGGCAGCCCACCATGCTTTACTTGATAGAAGACATTCACCTGTTTCTAAAAATAGTATTGCCTTTGGAACACAATTTGGAACTTGTAGGAGGGACCGGAGAAACTTTGCCTGGAAGTCATCAAACCTGGCGAATGAGCCATTGAACCAGATGTTTGAGGCCTAGAGGAGTTGAGAGACAGATTTTGCATTAAATACCTTAATGGCTGATGGAACATAATGGCCTCCCCTTTTATAAAAGAATTGAAGTATAGCCAGTTTGCTTACCTCCGCCTTTTGATAGGCAGTTTGCCAATGATGTTTCCAGGACTTGGAATGATGGAACAGAAGCCCTAGGTACCGGAAGAATTTGGTCTGCTCTAGTTTGTGACCGTCCAGTACCCATTTACTCAGGGACAATCTCTTCTCAAACACCAGGACTTTTGATTTTTCATAATTGATGGATAACCTATTACCAGAGCAGTAGTCTCAGAATTTCCTTAGTTGGTAGTTCAGGCCAGGTCTGGTTTGGGAGAAGATGGCCGTGTCATCTGCATACAGCAAGAAAGGGGTCTTTCTTGTCCCTATTTTTGGAAGATGGCCATCAGGGTCCATTAAGCTTGCCTCTAAGTCATTCAAAAACAAACTGAACATCTTATAAACTGTTTATAGGAAGTAAATAAGGAGGCCAGAGACAGGATAAAGGAAGTATTTTTTGTTGTTGTTGTTTGTATTGTTGTATGTTATGCTCACTGTATGTTATGTTCACGTTTAATGAGGTGGATTTGTGTATTGGGGTGTGGGGGTTTGTGTTATGTTGTAAATAAAATTCCAATAGAAATTTAAATTAAAAACAAATAAACAACAAACTGAACAAGGTAGGGGCCAAAATGCATCCCTGTCTCACTCCCCTGGCCATCTCAATACAGTCTGAGAGCTGGCCCTGCAACCCACACCTAACCTGCAAATTGCTTCCACAGTGCAGGGCTTTAGTAAGATATAGGAGACGTTTATCCTTCAGTACTAGATGTAATTTGGACCATAGTTGGAATCCAGGGATGAAGTCAAAGGCAGATTTCAGGTCCATAAAGGCCACAAAGAGTTTTCCCTGTAGAGGTCTGGTGTACTTCTCAGCTAGGAGGGACAGCGTTAGACAGTGGTCTGATGTTGAGTGTTTTTGCGGAAAGCTGCCCGAGCTTCAGATATATTTATAGTCATTTAGAAAAGTTGTCAGTTTGTTACAGAGAAAGCGGGCATACAGCTTTTCTATAATTGAAAGCAGACTGACTAGCCTATAATTAGAAGGCATGTTTGGCTGGCCTCTCTTAAAGATTGAAACTACTATTGCATGTTCCTCATAAGACATCGTTTTTGGACATAAGACATCGTTTTTGGACATAAGACATCGTTTTTGAATTGCATTGGCTTTTTTAGCTGCCGCATCACACTGAGCCAACAGTGTGATGCGGCAGCTAAAAAAGCCAATGCAATTCTGGGCTGCATCAATAGGAGCATAGCATCTAGATCAAGGGAAGTAATAGTGCCACTGTATTCTGCTCTGGTCAGACCTCACCTGGAGTACTGTGTCCAGTTCTGGGCACCACAATTCAAGAAGGACACTGACAAACTGGAACGTGTCCAGAGGAGGGCAACCAAAATGGTCAAAGGCCTGGAAACGATGTCTTATGAGGAACGGCTAAGGGAGCTGCGCATGTTTAGCCTGGAGAAGAGGAGGTTAAGGGGTGATATGATAGCCATGTTCAAATATATAAAAGGATGTCATATAGAGGAGGGAGAAAGGTTGTTTTCTGCTGCTCCAGAGAAGCGGACACGGAGCAATGGATCCAAACTACAAGAAAGAAGATTCCACCTAAACATTAGGAAGAACTTCCTGACAGTAAGAGCTGTTCGACAGTGGAATTTGCTGCCAAGGAGTGTGGTGGAGTCTCCTTCTTTGGAGGTCTTTAAGCAGAGGCTTGACAACCATATGTCAGGAGTGCTCTGATGGTGTTTCCTGCTTGGCAGGGGGTTGGACTCGATGGCCCTTGTGGTCTCTTCCAACTCTATGATTCTATGATTCTATGTTTCTAGCTAGATGGTACTTTGCTTGAGTTAAAAGTGCCGCCAGAAGAGGAGCCCACCAGTGCTGATTTGATATGATCAATTCAGCTGGGATAAAGTCATTTCCTGGGGCCTTACCACTCTTAAGGTTCCCAATTAATGTATAGACTTCTTCCACTGTAACTGGGCTCCATTGTGGGAGCAGTGACAGTTCTGCTGAAACTTCATCATAAAAACTGGCGGGGAGATTTGAATTTTCCATGAATATATTTCTAAAATGGTTCTCCCATACCTGAGCTGGAATGGCACAGCTGGGGGCAGGAGAGCTATTGCTCAGGAAGCCAGAGACCAGTTGCCAGAAGAGTTTTGTTTCGTTGTTTAGCGAGGCATTCAGCAACAGAGGCCAGGAGTTTTGTTCAGACTGCCTTTTTTTTTGAAGCCAAAAGGGCTTTGTACTCTTTTTAAATTTTGAAATAAGTTGGGGGTAAATAGTTTAGGCCAGTGTTTCTATAGGCCAGTGTTTCTTCTTTGTGCGGCACTCTTGGTCGAACCATCTGCACCCTTTAGCAATGCGGGGCTTGCTGGCTGGGTTTATGTTAACAGAGACCACATCCTGCAAGAACTCAATGAGATTATCGTAAGTTGTCAGGGAGGAATCTGTTGATAGGTCATTGATTATACAGTGGTACCTCTGGATACGAACGGGATCCGTTCCAGAGCCCCGTTCGCATCCTGAAGCAAACGCAACCTGCGTCCGTGCATGCGCGGGTTGCGATTCACCGCTTCTGCGCATGCATGTGATGTCATTTTGACCATCTGCTCATGCGTGAGTGGTGAAACCTGGAAGTAACGTGGAGCACAACCCAAAAGCACTCGACCTGAAGCAACTTCAACCCGAGGTATGACTGTAGTTGAAATATAGTTGTACCTCATAAGTCGAACGGAATCCATTCTGGCTCCTGCAGCCAATCAGAAGCCGTGGAAGCCGCGTCAGACGTCCAGGTTCCAAAGAATGTTCCCAAACCGGAACACTGACTTCCGGGTTTGCAGCATTCGGGAGCCGATTTGTTTGACAACTAAGCCATTCAACAACCAAGGTATGACTTTTAATAATACTAATACTAATATCATAATCCCGAGGAAAAGTTTAGGTCCCTCTGACCTGTCGTGGTTACAGCAAAGGGAGTACAGAAAGCACCTATCGGGAATAACCTTTTCTTTGTCTGATCTCTTCTCTCTGCTACAGGCGATTCCAATCCCAGAGTCACCTCCTCCTCTCACATCAATGGATTAGGGAAAAAGCCCCTGAGGAACCTGCTGCCCATAGTATGTTCTCTGCGCGGTGTTTCCCAGCCACATTTCTATGTCACAGGACCGGGATAAGCCTCCGACAAAAACTGTAGACCAGAAGGGATGGGGAGCCTGTAGCCCTTCAGATCTTCTTCAACTCCCACTGCCCCCTCCCCGACCATTGACCCTGCTGGCTGGGGAGGAGTTCAACAGCATATTGGAAGGGCCACAGAGTCCCCCAGCCCTAATTCAGATTGGTTTTTAGGGTGTGTGTGGCTTTACTAGACCTGGCCTCCAGGGTGCCAACTTGAATAAAATATGGGGGGAGGCAGGTAAGAGCCCCCCCCACATAATCAATCCCAATACTTGTTGCCTGCAGACGATTTGAATGGCAATGGCCATCCACTTGGAGGGGGAGCTGGCATCCTCAAATATTTTTTGGGGGGGAGGGACTTTGGCCCCTAGGAGTTGGCTCCTATGCCTGGGCTCAAGTTCCTCTTCTACAATGTATTTGTTGTTTAGCTTTGGATAAGTTGCCTCAGCCTTGATTTTCCCTGTAGAATTGGAAAATTAGTGAACAACTACAGACAATGTGAACCTGATATTTCAAAACACTTTGCAAGTTAATAGTACACTGTGTGGGGATGATTAGGGAGGCAGGAGAGGATATATTATTTTATGATATCCTTCCTAACTTGCGCTAGCACGTTCCATATTCTAGCAGTTCCAAACATCCCCCTTTTTAAATTATGCAGCGATCAGCTTGTTGCTAACTCATCTGAGTCTTACTATTAAAGATTCCTTCCTGATAAAATCCCTTCTAATCCCTCTTAAAAAGAATAAACATAAGACTCTGATTAACATTAATATAAAAGTAGCTTACTCACAGATTCATTCAGGTTCACAGACATATCCCTGAAGGCAGACTTAGGTTACATAACAACTAGAACTATTCCATAAAGAAGTTAGTCCCAAGTGACTGCGACTAAGCACACACACTGATCCGAACATGGAGGCCGTGGGCTCCTCCATGCCAGTACAACAGACCGCACCTTCTTCAAGTCTGTCCCAGCTCAGGAGGAAACGGGAAGTCTTCTCCAGAGTGGGACAAAACATCCCCTAACGTGTCCACTGTAGGAATGTTGTACTTGACTGCAGCTTTACATCCCACACACTGGAGCATGAAACATGTTAGGCATCCCTAGGAATATGGAGGCAGTAGCAAAGGGAGGTTCAAGCCCCCTCCATTTCAGTGTGTGTGTTATGATTGAGTCAAAAGGGGGAAAGTCAATCCATCATTCCCCGCTCCCAGCTGTGCAGCTTAGTAAAGTCAGGGCTGGAGGAACAAACTGGAGAAAACTTGGCACTGAATGTAAAAAAACCAGATTCCTAAGAACCTTGGCTTTCACTTTATAAAACACACATAAACAAACACCAAGTTTCTAGCCATTGGGACTGAAGATGTGCTTGAAAATGTGCAGGCAATATTTAGTGAAGCCTCATAAGGAATTGCATATTTTGAATATGATTTTCCATAGTAAGCACGACTTCAGGAGGATACAAAATGACCAAAATGTACATAAAAAGTTATGCAAATAAGAAATTATTCACATGTGCTTGGCATCCTTAATTTATAGAAGCAGGGAGAATTCAATTTCCTTTGTAGCAAAATGGGTCTTCCCTTGGCTCAAATGTCTGGGCTGTTTCTCTTAGGTACACAACAGACAAAACCCTAAACATAAATATGCTAGAAGTCAATGAGGCAAAGTCCTTTGTTCTTACTCTGCAGCAGCAGCAGCAGGAGCAGGAGGGGCTATGTTGCTGACACACCAGAAGTCACTCCTGGTTCCTGAGAGGAGCAGCAAAGCAGCAGGGAGCTTGGTATGGCCCATGTGGCTCAGCAGAGCCCATCTGATGTTCCCACCACCTCACTTGCACCAAGCCCCCCCCCCGCTCCGCTCCTCTGCACTTGGTGTTGGAAAACCAGCCTAGCAACCCTGCCCACTAAGGCTCACTCCATCTGTGTATAGCGATATAATTTTATTTCCCCCTAGATCTAACCATAGTGCTGCTTATTTTAAGAATAAGAGTGAGAACTCTTCCCTTCTTGTCTTGCCCCAGGTCATCTACAGGCAGCTGTTTCATCACCGGACGAAACAATGCTTTTATAATGCTTTTCTTTTGGATGAGCTTACTACCCTGGGCTCCTTCAAAAGCAAGGGCGGAATATACATTTAATAAGGGAATCAATAAAATGCATCCTTGTGCCTCTCTCATTCGCCAAGGGCAGTGCTAGAATGAAGTGTGTTTGAGCAGTGCAGCAATGTTTTATTTCACAGAATCATAGAGCTGGAAGGGACCCCAAGGGTCAAGCCCCTGCAATGCAGGAATCCCAGCTAAGGCATCCATGAGAGATTTCTTCTTCAAATACTTCTTTTCTTCCCTTGCTCTAGGTTTTTAGTTCATCACCTGGGAAGAAAGGTAAGAAGCAAAATACTTTCGAATGGTGATGGGGAACATGGATGTTGTTTGACTACAACTCCCATCATCCCTGACCATGGTGGGTGGAGCTGATGGGAGTCCAAAAACATCTACAGTACAGGGACTTCTACTTTTAACAAGGTGGAAAGAGAAGGGAGATAATGGGTTTTTGCCTCTTTTACATTGTGCTAGAACAGGGGATCATCAAATGTTGGTTGGCCACTGTGAGAACAGGATGTTGGGCTATGGTGGACCTGTGGTCCGATCCACTGGGACTCTTGCTGTGTTCTTTCTAAACTAGGGTTAGGCCAAGCTCAGAGAAAGTTACACAGAACCGATTAGCTGGATCCTCTTCAAATGGCTTACGACTCATTTCTGAGAGCGACTGCCTTCCAAGAGATGGAAAGGAAAGGGTGTATTCACTGCAGCAGTGGGGAACCTAGGCCCTCCAGATGTTGGTGACCGACAACACCCATCAACCCTAACAAGCAGTCAATGGACAAGGATAATGGGAGTTGTAGTTCAGCAACAACTGGAGCGTTAAAGTTTCTGCCTTATTAGTTTCCCACAACCTCCTGGAAGCTGTTGCTACCTTCTACAAGGTCTCCTTCAGAGTTGCCATACTGGAGTGCTAGTTTGTCACGACCCTAGTCGTTCCAGGATGACAAATCTCAGAAAGTGGTGCGGGAAAGTTGTGGGTCTTCCTTGTGGTCTGCAAGGCTCAGCTGGCACTCTTCTTTCAGCCCGCTTTTCACAAGACATGAACATCCCTATATTCTAGCTTCCTAGATGATGTTTGCCCCAGTGTTTGTTACAGGCAAGCTGATGTGAGAATTGACACCCTCTCATGTTTTTTTACTAGCCCCACCATCACCACGGACTGCCCCCACCCAAGAATATGAAGATGTGGGCAACATCAGTCCCAGGAGTAGCCCAAATGCGGTGGTATCTTCTGCCAATGGAATGGGTAAGTAAGGGGACCTTTAGGCAAAAGGTCATGATAGTGCTGCAGGGTGCATTCGTGTGGAAACTGAGGGGGCGGAGAGGGCCAGGTTCCTACCCAAATCTCTCTCAAACACACACACACACACAAAGTGGTTCACACACCTGTGTAGATTTCAATATACTTACTAGGGTCTACTGCAACTGCTTGCTTCACTGATCAACCCCACCTCTCTGCCACCACCTTTGCCAACTACCTCCCCCCCACATGACGACACCCACCTTCCTTTTTTCACACTGGAGCTGGTGCAGCTGCCTAGTGGCAGGCACATGAACTGCAGCATAATGACAGCCTTACATTTTTATGGGTACACCAAGATATACAAACACCTCCAACATAATCCACGTTAGGAGGAAAGGAGAGTGAAGTTGTTAAAGATAGCTCAAGAGGACTGCATGATTCTCCACATTCTGTCATGTGTTAAACTTAAAATACACAAAAGGACAATTGCCATCAGAGATGTGAAGGGGAGGGAATCATAAAAGAAATAGAACAAACCTCTCAGTGCTTTGCCCATCTCCTCTTGCCCCTCCAGGGTTTAACTTCCGCATCGGGAAGCCCAAGGGACCAAGAGACCCTCCTGCTGAATGGAGTCGCATCTAGGCAGCATGACAGAGTGACAAGGACACGGCTTCTGCCATTGAGCAATACAGATCGGGACCAATACTGCTGCCTGCCCACTTCCTTAGGGAATAACTGTAAAAATAATAACCACCAGCAAATTGTGCCTCTGGGGCCATGGACCAAAAGGCAGCAGCAGTTGCATGCACTATACTCCAGGACTTTTCTACCAGAAGAGAAGGATATGGACGTGCTCGAAATGTTGGGATCCACCAGCTAAGGAATGTGTGAACCTGGCAGCCACCTTCTCTTCACCAGCTTCTTGAGCGGCTCTTAGTTGGCCAGGGCAGTTTTGCCCGCCAAAATTTAAAGCCTGGTACCCCATGCCAGGAACCATCAACACAGCACATCCCTCCTCCCATTAAACAATATTTGCTAATTTGTGAATTGCGCTTTTATCAACAGCCACTGGAGCAAATCCATTCCACTCAGGAGTCTGCCTGATTGCCCCATCTTATGTCAATTTACATTTCTCCTCTTACTTACTACAGTCATTTCTGCAACCTAGTCTATGGAATGGGAAGGAATGGAAGGAAGACATTTGGTGCCTTTGGGATTCTTGTTCTTCTCCCATCTGGAGGGGGTAAAATCAAGGCCTGGCACCAGCACTTCAAATTAGCTCATTGGGTTAGGGAACGCCCCCCCCCCACCGCTGGGTGTTCCAATTGCAACATATTACTTCTCACATGCAGAATACTTTTGTCAAAAGATTGCACTCATAAGGCTGGGGAGAATGAGGAAGGAAGATGGAGCTCCTCCCTTGCACCAGTTACTGTCCTTGTTTTGGTTTTTTTTCTTTTTAGTCTGAATGTTCAATTGCTCTGCTCTTTCCAAATCTCTTGCTGGAGAACTAGAAGCTTCCTGGATGTCTGACTTTCCTGGAAAGTAAACACACAAGAGCTCTGATCTACCCAGGCTTTGGGATGCTCACATCCATGCCACTTTGGAGTCCATGTAGGCAGTGCTAGATGCCCTATGGCAGGTATGTCCAACAGGTTGATCGCAATCTACTGGTAGATCCCTGTGAGGTTTTGGTAGATTGCGGCCGATCTCTGGCTCCCTTTCCTTAGTGTCGCTAAAACTGACTCCTGCCTCGCCCTCCATTGTTGTTTGATCTCTGGAAGGGAAGACGGAGCTTTCTCTGTGTTGCTGTTTTCATCCATAGCGATCTTCTTGTGAGTGAGTTTACCCCTTTGTCCCTTGCCTTTACCCCCCAAAAAACTGGAAGCCCCCCAAAAGCTATTTTTGAACCCCCAAATTGGGGCTTTCCTTCCAAAAAAGAGCTCAACAGTAGATTACTGCCAGTTTTTAATTCTGAAAGTAGATCGCAGTCTCTTGAGAGTTGGCCACCCCTGCCCTATGATTTAACTGCCCTAGAGGAAAGCACCAGGAAGAGAAGATGGACGTATAAAAATCTGTAAATACCAGTGGTGGGGAGTGGTTGCTGCCCCCATCCCTTAGAACTCCATCACATTGGCTGATACAGCCATCAGAAGGGAAGCATTCCACATCACCTAGGGGTGCATTCTATGCCAATTTCCCTCCCTTCCGCTACTCTGTAAAACTCCTCCCACAATCCCCAATTTCCATCAATCAGCCTGCCTACTCTGGGATCCTCTCCAAGAAAAACATTTTCTGTGAAACAGAGAGATGAGAAATACATCTCACAAAACTAGAGCAAAACAAAGGGGCAGGGAAGAATTTGGGGCCCCATTGAAATCTATTCTACTAGCCATTCTCCCATTTCCAGGAAATATAGCTGCGCCAAGTTGACTTACTCTGTGGAACAGAGAAAGAAAAGTAATTCCATTTGTTCTATCAGGCCAGAAATCATGAGAGTTGTAGTCCAGCAACATCTGGGAGGCACCAGGTTTGACAAGGCCATGTTTTCTATCCTGCCTGCTCCTTAACAGCAACTAGGAGCGATTCCATCTTCACTCATTCTAGGACTGCTTGAATGGGCGTCAAAGTGGGCCTTCTCTTGGCGACCACTGCTGCCCTCGTCATCCATTCCCCTGATGCTGTTTTTGGAAGGAAGGAAGGAATGACAGGGCTCACTGTAATATGTAGCCCAGTATGTGTGCGCCAAACCCACAACTGAACAGGGATGCAGAGCAGGAGAGCAAGCTTCCAAGATGCCCCGCCCGGTACAAAACAAAAACAAAAAACCCCAGGTAGAATGCTCTGTGCCTGGAGAGGGAATCTGTCATGGAGATTCCTGCATGGCAGGGAGTTGGACTAGATGACCCTTGGGTCCCTTCCAACTCAAAGATTCCATGAAATCTAAGAATGCTTGGCATAGTTGGGGGGTTTTTGTGTCCTTTGTCTGCATGGGCCAAGGAGATTTTCAGTGGCAGAAAGCACAGGTTTATGGGGTGAATTTGAAGACTCCAGTTCACAAAGGCCCCAGGCTCCAGGCAGTGGACAGCCTCCTTGAGGAGGAGGAAGAGAGAGGCAGTGTGGAGTCCATGCTACTCCACGCTGAGGAATTTCCGCTTCTTAGCTGTGCGAGTGTATGGGTGCCAGCGCCACTCCACATCTGCTGTGCTCTCCTGCTCCAAGGTTCCCAGTTTGATCATATATACTGGAATAAGAGAAGAGCAGCTTTAGAGTCTCATCCAGCTCCACTTGAAGCAGACATGCAGCACCCACCAACCCCTAACTCTGCACAGTTCTGCCTGTTAGTCCAGACACCCACCCAACTGCAGCCTTCTAAACTTTTGGCAGAAAACATTTGGACACAGACAACAAGGAAGAAGAAATGTGGACTAGCAAATACCACGGTCGTATCTTGCAAGTGCTTTCTCTATGTGCTTGAAGCATTTCACACACCTTTATCTCAATCACAAGAATGGCTTTGCTGGAGCAGACAGGAGGCTCCCCTAGGCCAGTGGCCCACTTCACCAATCACCACCAGCCAGGCGCCTCTGCAAGATCTCAAACAAGGCCTGAAGGAGATGGCCATCACTGTGTGGTACCTGGAGGCATATTGCTTCTGTAAATGGAGGAGAACCTCTGGTGGGGGGAAACTGTGGCCCTCCAGGGGTGTTTGGACTACAACTTCCGTCATCCCTGAACACTGGTCCTGCTGGCTGGGAGTCCAACCTTTGTTCACTATGAAAAGCTACTGTGACTGAATAAATGGGTAAAAATGCTTCAAGTGCGTCATAGTAGTCTAAAGCAGTTCCACTGCTGTGACATTGAGCTCTTTTAAAGTGGCACTCATGGCTGACCTAAATTAAAAGGCAATCAGGCTTGTATGTATTGCAACCAAATATCTGGAAAAGAAATTCCTCTAGAGCAGGGATGGCCAACTCCTGAGAGACTGAGATCTACTTTCAGAATTAAAATCTGGCAATGATCTACCCCTGGTTTTTGGGGGTTCAGGTCAAAGTTTTTGAGCTTTTTTAGGGAGGGGGAAAGCCCCACTTTTATACAAATACTTTCTTACAAGGTAATTTCTGTTTTTTTGGGGGGAGGTTAAGGCAAGGGTCGAAGGGAAGAAGTCACTCACAATAATATCGCTTTGAATGAAAACAGCCACTTCCTCTCCACTGGTCAGACAACAGTGGAGGGGGGGCGGGGAGGGCAGGAGTCAATTTTGCTGAGGAAAAGGAGCCAGAGATCGACCTGCAATCTACAAAAACCTTGCGTGATCGACCTGTTGGACATCCCTGCTCTAGAGCATACGAAAGTAAATGTATGTAATCGTTTTTCTGTAATTGCGTTATGTGGTGTGTGTTTTTTAATATTTACGATTTGGCACACTCTTAGAAGTGAATTAAGGCTGAACAGCAGCCTGCCACTTTAATTTACTAATCAGGTTTGGCATTCAAATGTTGCAGGAGAAAGAAAAAAGAGGCAAGGAAGCAACACCCCAAATTCTTGTGAAACAGGCTCCAGTCAGAGCCAAACTCCAGGCTCAAATATATCACTTTGTAAGTAAAAAGGGATGGAATCACATCAAATGCTCTTCTATGCTTAAAAAGAATCAGCAACCATTATGTGCATGGCAAGGTTCCCCAATGGGAGGAAGCACAGCCTTTCCCTGACATGCTGAAGCTTTATGCAGAAGGACTCTTGTATAAAACAGACTTATCTGATGGTGCCATCCTCCAGTTGCACAAGGAAGCGGTTCAGCTCCTGGAGGGCTATACTACGGATATTTCTGAAGGTATAATTCAGCCCTAAGTGACACATTCCAGCCATTCAACAGTTGGAGATTTCAACAGCCAGAGATTTTTACACCCACCCACTTACCTAGAGGAATGGTGGCAGTTCAGGGGCACATTCCAGCCAGGCAAAAGTGCCTGAGGTAAGTGCAGAGCAGGGCTGGGAAGCGGCTGTGGCTCGAGGAGTGCCTGCTGTGGAGGCCTGGAGGGCCACATTCACCCCTGGGCCTGGAGTCCCCCACCCTCTGCTCTGTTTGCCCTATATTCCATTTGTGGATTTGCACCATGCCCTTCCAGTGTTCTAGGCAGCTGACTTACGTTTCATCTCAAACCTTGGCCCAACCTCTGTAAGCTCTACGTTCCGGTGGTCGGTCTTCTTGTAGACGTGGTGCCTGCCACAAAAAAAGCAAGTTTTGTTAAGAAGCTAGTGCTGGAACAATCCCCAACGAGCCCATACTCACCGACTACCTCCCTTTTTGCTGCTGCCCTCTCAGTGCCAGCCCCAGAGTTTGGCGCAGAGCAGAAGAGTGACAGGTCCCACAGCGCAAGGAGACCTGGCTGAAATCAGATGCACCGTCTTTCTAGGCAAATGGGCAGCCTTTCGTTTCCCATATATGCTGCAGCAAGCAAATACTGTAGCAATGCTTCTCCGAACACATGGAGGACTATGGAAGGAACTTGTTGAATTAGCACACTCGTGCCTTGCTCTACTTTGTGCTTTTTAGAATCTTTTATGGTCCTTTTGTCATATCTCAAACTGACTCTGCTGGGTTGCAGTTTGTTGTGTTTAATTCCACCCCCCCCCCAATAAAACAAAAACTCTTTGCCACATCAGCGGAGAAGAGGTTGGAGGCCAGCATTCTTGGGGGGACCAGCACTTTGAACTGCAGCCTCTCCCCCCCTTGCAATTCACCCCCCACTTCAAAGAGAGCAAGTGTCTCTTCACCGCTCACCCCACTCACCCCACACTTTTGCAACCTATCAGTGGGACCAAGAAGAGAAAAGAGAACACTGGCAGCCAGCCCTAGCAGAAACACAAGACAAGTTCCCCCTACCGGAAGGAGATGTAGTCTTCTTGGTTGGCAAAGGTGATGACCCGTTTGCTATCATCTTTGGGCACTGGAAACAGGTACTTGAGAATGCTGGTGAGCTGAGGAGGGAGAAGTGAGGAGAATGTGGGAAGACTTGTAAGCTGGTAGAAAATGGGACAGATCCACACCATACTTTTAAAGCACATCCAGCACACCCTTCAAGCACATGCTGGCCCCCCAAGAATCCTGGGAACTGTTGTTTGTTAAGGGTGCTGTGAACTGTAACTCTGTGAGGAGGACACTACAGTCCATGGGGAAAGCCATGTGCTTGAAAGGTGTGTTGAATGTGCTTTAACCGCCCACAGAACATGTTTGATGAATCCCAGAAGCAAGATCTTCCACCACTGGGGAAGCTCTGGCCTGCAGGCCCATGAGACTGTTTGCCCCAAACCCATCCACCAGAACCCTGGCATAAGATAAAGTGTTGGCTGGGTCAGCTACACAGATGATTGACAAGTGGACGACCCAGCTGCCCTGTCCAGGCTGGGGTGAGAGACCAGGATTCAGCAGGCCCCCACCCCTGGCTTACCCCTCCCCCAGTTTAGATTATAGGAGTTGGAGTGCAACAGCATTTGGAGAGGCTAGAGGGTCGCCGTCCCTCCACACCCTAATAGACCCTTAGGTTGTAACCCTAAACCTGCCAGTAAACTCAGTTGGACTTCCAAGTACAAAATATAAAAGTTCTTTTACCACTCAACAAAAATAACAAGCCCTGACCTTCACTTCATATGGAAGATGCTCCAATCTCTCAATCGTTCCGGTTGCTCTTTCTGTACTCTCCCACCCAACCCCTGTACTACAGGATCTTCATTTGAGCTGGGGGGACCAGAACTGCACAGTGGAACATATTGCACAGAATGCAATATGCCAAGGTTTGCCCTATGTGCACAAGACTCCATGGGCCAGAGCGAGACTTGGGCCCATGTTCTCCACCACATCCCTCTCCTTTTCTCCCTTTCTCCTAAACTTGGCTTCTTGTTGTGTATGAAACCAGAGAGTGCCATTCATGACTGTTTTGAGGGTTTTATTCTTTTAAAATCAAGCAGTGTATAAATGTTATGAAATAACTAACTAATTAAGGTTAGTTTAACAAGCCAACTTCAGAAACCATGGTTTGAAGTTGTCTTGTTGAGAAACTGAGCAGAGGGTTTTTTTAAGAAACCATGATCTCTGGTTAGCATGCAAGGACAAGCAGAAATTAAGGGACGGTGATAGCAAATTCTGCTAAAGTCGTCCTTCCAACTGCACAGAAGCATGCAAGCCTGTTGCGTTTGGACTTGTTCCAGTTCACACAGAGAACTAAACCATGGTGTACATATGAACAGGGCCAGTACCCCAAAGGCAGCCACGCTAGATTCAAAGAAATGCCTTGAGTGCCCACTTTTCAATCACAAATAGTGACTTTGCTCATTTTGACCTCCAAGTGCATCTTACCCGCTGCCCAAGACGGGAAGTGAAGTTGTGAAAGATGAGGTGTGGATGTGCCTCTGACATGGTGCCAATGTCTGGGATGTCGTGGCGCATGACCACATTGCAGAGCGTGAAGAAGGCAGTGGGGCCAAACGGCAAGTGGCTGATTATGAGGCCATCTACATGGTGATAAAAAGGTGGCTAAGTTAGTCAGGCCCCATCACCAGTGACTGCAAGCTGAGAATAAAATCCCCCGGCGGTAAAAGGCAATGCCTTGCTATCAGTGCTATGGAGCTCAGGCACCAGTTCTACCTCCTGCTTATAGACACAGAAAACTGCCTTATACACAGAGTTCATTTAGCAGGAAACCAGGCAGAGGGCCTTCTCGGTAGTGGCGCCCGCCCTATGGAACGCCCTCCCATCAAAGAAATAAACAGCTATCGGATCTTTAGAAGATATCTGAAGGCAGCCCTGTTTAGGGAAGCTTTTAATATTTGATGAATCATTGTATTTTAATATTCTGCTGGAAGCCACCTAGAGTGGCTGGGGATGGGCAGCATATAAATAATAATTTATTATTATTAATTATTCTTATTATTATTACTACTACTACTACTACTCCTCTATCCTTTCTACTTTGACTGTCATTAGCTCACCAGGTTTTCTGAAAGCAGTTTTTCCCATGCAAAACATGTGCTCTACCCACTAAGCAGCAGTTACACACCTAACTACGGAAGCCACCACCAAAGAGCAGGATCCCAGCAAAACCGCTCCCGGTCACTCATACAAGTGAGCCATTCTACACACTGCATAGGCAAAGATTAAAAACTGCTCCCACAATCTAACAAAGGTAAATTGACAGTTCACACATAGCAACATTTGCTCTCAACAACATTTGTTTCAACTCTCTAATGTGATGCAATCCACGTCACCCCTGCCCACACCCAGCCCCGGTCAAGCCACTCACCTGGGACCCCTCTGTGCTCATGCACCACCAGCAGGTCGGTGACCCCGTTCGCTTTGCAGGCGCGGACAAGGGCCCCCACTTCATGTCGGCCTCGGTTCATACGCTGGGCCCCAGGGAAAACCAGCTTGACTTCCTAAAGAGGAAATGGGTGGAAGGAGATGGGAGAGTGATCAGGAGGCATAACCTGCAAGAGTCAGATTCAGGGTCACCTAGTGCAGTGTTTCCCAACCGGTGTTCCGCGGCACACTAGTGTGCCGCGAGACGTTGCCTGCTGTGCCGTGGGAGGGAGGCGGGCGAGTCGGGCAGCGAGAGGCGGGGCGGCGGCGGCGAGGCCGCCCAGCGTGGGGCTCTCGCCGTCTGCCTGCCTGGCTGCCTGCGTGGCGCTGACGTCACGGGACTGTAACGTGCCCCACATAGGCACACGCGGGGTGGCGAGCGAGCTCCCTCCCACATCCCATCGCCGGCTCTGCACCAGGCGGTAGAGCTCAGCGAAGTCGCCGCGCTGGAAGGCCAGCAGCGCGCGTGCCTTGGCCAGGCTCTCGCCCGCCTGCGCCTCCAGGCACGGCGCCTCGGCGTCGGGCGGCAGCGAGCCCAGGAAGCGGCCCAGCCGGCCGGGGTCGCCCGCCTGCAGCAGCGCCTCGCACACGCACGAGACCTGCTCCGCCGAGAAGTGCGGCGAGCGCGGAGGATCGGGCGCGGCGGAGGCCAGCCCCGCGCTTGGAGAGGACGCAGCAGCCGTCACCAAACCCGATCCTCCTCCTCCTGCTCCGCCGCCGTCCCCTGGCTCTCGGCCGGGAGGAGCCTGCGGTGACGGGGCGGGCGCCGAAGTTGGCAGAAGTTGGCGCGCCTCCTCGGCAGCGCCTTCGTCCTCCTCCTCCTGCCTCTGCTCTCCTCCGGCGGCAGGGGCGCGCCGTCCTCCCCGGCCGGGGGGCTCGGCGGGGCCCACAGGGAAGGAGGCCATGTTCGCGGCGCGCGGGATCGCGGCCCCCCTCGCCCGCCTCCGGCCCGCTCCCCTCCCCCTGCGCGCTGCCCTAGCTGTGCGGGTCTCCTCCCCCTGCGCCGCCGTCCCCTTTCCACATCCTAGGAGCCACGGTCCGCCTACCGCCCCCGGGCCGCGGCGCGGCTCCCAGCCCAGGCTGGCCTCCGCCTCCTGGGACGCGCGCCCACCCCCGCGGCCCCCCAAACTTCGGAGCAACTCTCCAGACGCTTCTCCCCTGCCTCGGTCTCCTCCTTTCCACTTCTCTTCCCACCTTCCTTCCCTCTTTCTTTCTCTTTCTCTCCCACCCGCCTTTCCTTCTATTAACTTTCCTTTCCCCTCCCTTCGTCCTTCCTACTTTTACTCCTGGGCTCCTCCCCCCTTTGCGCAGCCACAAATCAATCTCTCTCTCTTTTTTCCCCTCTCTCTCTTCTTTGCTCAGACGCAAAAAAGCGCCGCTTTTTGGAAATCCGGACTGCTGTCCCCGCTGAAACCATACTTTAAAAAAGGAAGAACCCACTGGCTCTTATTTCTGTTTAAAGCAGTAGATCCCGAACTCTTTTGGCCCACTGCCCCCTTGGTTCCACATCCCCCAGTGTCCCCTCTGCTTACTCTATAGAAAGCATTACAGGGGTTAACGCGGCTCGCTAAGGAAGATATTAATAGAATTCTGCATTTGGGGGGAGACCCTAACAGTCATCTACCATTACCTTCTATGCTGTTACTATTTTTTTTTATTTTTTTTTACATAAGTAAAAAGTGACCTTTCCCCATCTGGCATGGTGGTGTGCCTCGAGATTTTTTTCATGAAACAAGTGTGCCTTTGCCCAAAAAAGGTTGGGAAACACTGACCTAGTGGTTAAGGACAGGTTGGCACCAGAATGCCTAAAACGCACATCCGCTAACCAGGAATGCCCAAGCCTTCATGCAACACAGAGGATGAGAGCAGGAGGTGCACTCTGCACATACTCCAGAGGCATTCAGTTACTACTTCTCCACAGTCCCAAGACAGGGCCCTGGCTCACACTCAAGCCTTTTGGTGGGTCTCCAACATAACCTTCCTAACTAGGCCCAGCAAAGACCTGCTAGTTAGACCTGGAAGAGATATATCATGGACTGATCCCAGAACCTCTTATCACCAAAACAGGAAACACCGGAGGCCTTGCTCCAGACCTCCTCACTGCATGAGGTACTGCAGGCTGCTACTAAGAGCAGGGACTTTTCATCTATGTTACCTATCTTTGTAGAATGTTCTTCCAAGCAAGATCTCTCACTATTATTTTAGGCGCTTGGTTAAAAGGAGGATGCTGAAAGCGGCTTTCAGCCAAGTAAAATTTACTATTATAGTTGTTGTTATTTGTTATGCTATGCTCTTTGGCTGCTGTCTGAATTGCTTTTGGGGGGAGGGCAGTTTAACTATGTTGCATTTACACTGTTCCATCACTGCTACTGTTATTTTTATATGTTGTATGATGTCATGTTCCTAGAAGTTGCCTTGAGCATTCCCTTTCATTTTTTAAAGTTTTATGGATTTAAGCTTTTAAAACAACGAATGCATAACACTAAGCTGAGGAAGATGATTGATCTTCCCTCCTTCCCTATAGTGGGCACATAGCTTTTCCACCCCTCTTCCCCCACATGCACATATACCTCTTCCTAAAAGAGAAGGAACAAGTGCTGCTTGCTTACTTTGGCAAACATCTTGAGGCGGGAGCTGGGGTCGCGGGAGGTAGTGACCATGATGCGAGGATCCTCCACACCCGCCCAGCGGTACTCGTCGTCCATGTGGCTTTTCACACCTACCACGGCAAGGCAAATTACAAAGGCAAGTGACAAATCCACAGACACTCTTTGAACTCTTAACAAGCAAGCACACACCCTGCAGCTGCACTCATCTGGAAACCAAACTTGGGTTGCAGAAAAGAAGAACTTTTTTAAAAAAGAAAACAAGTGGTTCAGTGGTTCATCCATGCTCAGGGATGATTTGAAAATTTCTAAGGGTCTTGGCAGAGCACTTAGTGATTTTTCTGCCGGCTGTAGCAATTGCAATCTGCTGTGTTAGATGCTATAGGATTTTTCTAGCTGGTTCATTTACTTCTTATATACTGTATATTATTGTATACAAATCTGAAATCCATAGAATTCAAAAAAATCACTATGAATGCTTCTGTCTTCAACCACAAAACCACAGGCCAGTTTGGGAATGCCTCTACCAGAGTTCAAGGTTGCCTGGAAACCACAAACTAAATGATTGGAAAAGGATAGGCTACGTGGTTCATCAGCAGAGAGAGGAAAACACATCATACACCTAGGGAACGTCCTCCTCATCCTCTTCATGTTCATTTATAATTCACTTCTGGAGCAGCATTCCAATTCAAATCCAGATCTACAGGGCTCCGACAAGTGATGCAGAGGTAAGTTGCGCTAATGTGACAAATACAACACTTTCAAATGTGCCAAATTTCAACTGGAAATTGGTTGATTGATCCAATTAAGTGGGCCTGATGGGCTTTGTAGTCCAAATCCTCTGGAAGGCTCCAGGTTAAGAAAGGCTGATTTATAAGATGCCATTAGTGAGAAGTAATGCAATAGGGAATGCAATAGCTAATTCCACCACTGTCCTCCTTCTAGTTGTTGTCTTCTTCCTTCCAATTCCCTTTCTGCCATTTTGTTCTCTGTTCACTAAGGGTAAAGGCTACAGCCTGAGGATGCTTCCCTCAAAGCCAGTAAAATGATATATTAGTTTTACCATTCTTACCATTTTGCTCATATCAGCTACTCACCTTCTCCACCCCCATCATCAAATTCGAGAGCCTTCTGGAGCCCCAGAGCCTCCCTCCGCAATTCCGTGGGGATGAGGCAGTTCTCTGGAAGGGAAGAGGTAAGAGGAGTTACGAAAAGCAGACACAGCTGCAGGGCTCTTGACCACCATTACTGACTTCGGGGATACATTATAGGGAAATGCAAGACATACATTTTTCAACGGGCTTTTGAAGCCGAGTTATTACTTTATGTCACCCCTTTCCTCCAAAGAACTTGAAGCAATGTAACAGTGTTCTCCCGCTGCCTGTCCATTTTATACTTAACAACAGCCCTGTGAGGCAAGTTAGGCTGGAAAATGGCGGCTGGCCCACTGTCACCCAGTGAGTCACCGTGGGTCTCCCCAGTCCTAAGAGTTTACAAAGGCCAACTGCTCCTGCATCTACAAGACACTGTACACATGCAGGTTTCCACAAAAGGCACCCTTCTCAGCATACACACATCAGTTTTGAGCAGATGCAAGTTAGTTGTTCATACCATCTAGTGCTTTTTTAATTTTTTCCTTCTTCTCCTGGATCGCCCGAAGCTTTTCCTCCTGGGCTTTGCGGTAAAGATATTCTCGCCGCTGGCGGGCTTCCCGGCGCAACTAAAAGAATACAAAGGTATGAATGGAACGACAGAGAACACGCTCTCTCCACCACTTTCCAGTTTAACAAATCTTCAGGACAAGGACGGATGATCACTTCCTAAATACCTGCTAATCCTCAAGTGAGGATGTGTCCAAACGTTTGTTCCCAGTCCAGCAGAAACTATGGCCACATGCACACCATACATTTAAAGTGCTATGCTATGCCTTTAAGCAGCCACACCTTCCTCCAAAGAATGATGGGAGCTGTCATTTGTTAATGGTGCTGTGAGTTGTTTGGAAACCGGTTTCCCTCCCAGAATGGTTTAATCACAGGGAACTCTGGAAATGGTAGTACTTGGAGTGGAACAGGGGCAACTCTCAGCACCCTTTACAAACTACAGCTCCCATAATTCTCGGGGGGAAGCTATGTTTAAAGCAGCATCATAGCGGCTATGTTTAAAGTGGCATTATAGCCCTTAGGCTATAATTCCCTAGCAGCCGATGCCATATTGTAAAGTGTCAGGACATAGGACACTGTTCTACTGCAAACCTAAACACATTTACTGTACTACAGAGCATATACCTCACTGAACATTGTTCCGAGTAAACATACATAAGACTTCATGGTTAGGGTCACATAGCTCATTTATTCAAAATGGGTTTAATCACGCCTAAGCACCCACTGGATTGTGGCCATTGAGTTCTGAATCACAGAATGTCAGCCTTGGAAAGGCCCCTGGAGAACATCTAGTTCAAGCCAATATTCAATGCAAAAACCTACAGCACCCCTAACAGGCAGCAGTCTGGATTCCTAACGGATAGCTATCTGGACACCTGCAAATGAAAGAAAACCAACGCCGCCCATAAGGCAGTCAGACTGTTCCACTCTCAAAGAGCTCTTCGCATTCGCTAGTCATTGTGGGTCTGAAACTGAGAAGAGGAGTCGAGGCAGCAACTGGTTACAATTTGCTCCTCTCCCACGATGCACTACTATGCCAACCATTACGAGTGATTCCTAGGATAGCGCTGCCGCTGGGCAAGCGGGCCTGGCCACCCAAAGCTGCTGCTACCAACACGGCCGCCTTCAGGATCCCTGTTTGAGCTGCAGCTGCTGGGACGCGGCCCCCTCTGGACCGCTTCCCCAGCAGCGCCACGGGAAGCCCCTCGGCCGGCCTGGCAGGGCCCCCTTCGCCCCACAGCACCAGCAGCGCTTTCCCCAGCGGCCCCCGAAAAGCCGCCGCCGCCGCCGCCGGCTCCTCACCATGCTGCTTCCCCACCACGCCGGACTCCACCTCGCGCCGGAAGATCTCGCCCCTTCCTGCCTTACCGCCCCTTCCCATTGGCCAGCGCGAGCCTGATAGAGCGGAAGAGGACGCAAGCGGAAGGCCGTTTGCCCACAGGAAAGATGGCGGAGCAAAAGAAGCTAAATGAAGGATGACTAGAAGGGTGTGCCAGAAACAAGGATGGCGGCCCAACTGCTCGCGCAATGGTGTAGCAAAGCAAAGGGCTTGATACCCTTAGGATTCTCGATTAGACTTCCGGTTCCCGAATGCAATGGTCAGCAAGGGTGATGGAAAGACAACCGAATTAATGTTTAAAATCCTAGTTTCCTTCCTCCTTAATTTTCCATATCCCCAGGATAATTAACTACGAACCCCAAAATTAGACATTCCCCTTGGTGTTTAAAACAACCCCGAATTCTGTTCCAACAGCCGATGAGAGAGGGAAATAACTTTTTTGAAAAAAGGTGCAGAGGGATGTCAACCGACAGAGGGCGTTATTTTTGTCAAGGCACAAAGCGAGAGGGAGTTTCGAACTCGGCCTTATTTCTACTTTTGCATTTCCATCCTCACGCACTGCCTAAGGGGGTCCTAACGGAAACCAGAAGTGGAGCTTTTTTTCTTGGAGCTGTCGGCTTCTGCCTCTTTGAGAAGGAGGCGGGCTTTGCTGCCTCGGAAAGCGGCCTCCGCGGCCGCCCTTGCCCAAGATGGCTGCCCGCGGGGAACGCGGCCTCAAAGAAAGATGGCCGCTACGGAGGCCGAGAGATCGGAGCGAGGAATTGCTGTACAGTAGTAGCTCGATGGTGGCTAAGGAGGAGGAGCCTCGCTTCGGGTCACGTGAGCAGGAAGCGCCGAGGGGTCGGGAAGCCCCCTCTCTCCAGGCGAGGCAGGCACCTCGAAGCTCGCCCCGAGCGCCTGGGCTTTTGCTCCAGAGCTTTCCCTGCAAAAACCTGCTCTTTAAAGCCGAAGCAGAACAAAGCTCTGGAGAAAGGGGGGCACTCACACGTGGAGCTTTAAAGGGGGGGAGGTGGTGTGGTAGTAATAATAATAATAATAATAATAATTTATTATTTGTACCCCGCCCATCTGACTAGGTTGCCCCAACCACCTTGGGTGGCTTCCAGCATATATAAAAACGCAAAGGTAAGTGTGGATAAGGCCCCTACTGCCCATCATGTTACAGTTTCAGTTTTTGATTGCCGTTTCTGTAATTGGCCTAACAAGGAATGAAGGAATGCACCTTTTGCCGAATTCAGCCCATGCTCAGCACACAGATGAGATTAGGGGGAAATCCCACAGGATGAAATGGGATTTACTTCTGAGTGAACCTGCCTAGGATTAAGTTGGACCACACTTGGTGCAGAGGGTACTTGGGTTGCTCCAAAGGCAGAAATGGGGAACCTGTGACCCTCCTGGTGGTGGCTCCCGCCAGAGATTGCGGGAGTTGTAGTCCATCCGCACCTGGGGCGGCTACCGCTTTCCTTTTGCCTTGGGTAAAGTATTTTCGCTCTACGTTTTCTGCAGAGGACATGACAAACAGTAGAACTAGCAGGCAGAGTGCTGCTACTTTTATAGTGCTATCCTCTTACATAATTCTTTACAGAACAACATAGAACAAAGACAAGAGCTTGCAATCTAGTCTTAGACAGACAGCAATGGAGGGGGCAAAAGAGGTGAGCAGAGTGTGAGCAGATGCAGTTGCAGTTACAGGGGTTTCATTTCAGATGGCTCCAGCACAGAATGCAGGACCAGCTGAAGTATGTGAGGAGTTGGACCAGGTCATCCTCCACCTTTTTGATACTCTGGAGATGCTCCAGACCAAGAGGAAAGCTTTTAACAACTTGATAGAGCAGGTGAGACTTGGGTTTGGGGGAGTGCATAAAGGTGAAGGGCACTTCTACCACCCCGGGTCCCCTTCCTCCTCTTCTTCCCCCGCCCCCCAACTCCATGGTTGCTGCTCTGTAGCCCTTTGCCCATTGCCTCTTGTGGGGATCTGGCCAAGAACAAAATTTTCTCAGAAGGTGCCCACTGAGGAAGATTCTTTCTAAAGAGAGAAGCCTCATCTCTTAACATTTTGTGGTGGTTATTTCTTCCCCAGGGTTGGTTCTCGCTCTCCAAGTCCCGCTATGCCATGGGTAACAAATCTGTCTCTCCCCTTCAGTATGGACATCAGATGACTCCAATGGTTCAGGTGAAAACTAGGTGAGAGCAGGAAATATCAGAATTTGGAGGGTGGAATCCCATGGAGCAAGTGAGAGCCTATGAAGTAACAGGAGAGGGGAGGCAGAACAGCCAGTATTCTTTCCTGTTGGTTTTGGTGACTTCCAGCTTTATTTCTCTCCTTGACAGATTTTAGCTCTAGATGGGTATCTGTGCTGCTTGTATTGCATAGAGGAGCTGACCAGAGCTGTCGGCCAACAACATCTGAAGGGCCACGAATTCCCCATTCCTGACTTAAATTGCAATTCCACTATTTACTTTTTGCAATAACATTTCAGCAGTACTTTCTTTGGGTGGAATCCAATGTGACACTAAGATGAATTTTTGGTCAATGCAAGGATTTCTGAAGTGAAGCAGGATATAACTTTTATGAAATAAATAACATTTCTGCTTGCACATTTTTTAAAAGTGTTCTAAATCTTCTCTAAATCTTCTTTAGGGCTCGAGCAACCCCTAGAAATCCTTGTGCTGACAGGATTCATTCGTGGAATCCCGCCCCCCCCCCCCCGTTTCCCTTATTGCCTAACTACTCATTTACACAGGGAGCACCAAATGGCGATACTGCCATTGCTTAGGGGAGTCTACCCCAATCTGGTGCCCTCCGGATGCTGCTGGACTCCAACTGCTATAATCCCAGACCGTGGAGGATGTTGGCTGGGGCTGATGGGAACTGTTAGCCAAATATCTGGAGGGTACCAGGTTGGTGGAGGCTCTTCTGAGGTCTACGAGTGAATTAGTTATTACTATAGATTCAATCTTACATTTTGCTGTTTCTCTGCTCTGTCTAGAAAGAAAGACAATGGTCAGATGGGGTTTCATGTGGTGTCAGAGGATGTGAAGGCTGCCAAACCAACAGCTACAGATGCTGTGGAGGAAATTGGCCCTAGTGAGCAAGGTGAGGGTGCAAACCACAAGGCTGGTCGGGATGGTATATGTTTGGGACTACAGTAAACTGAGGATAGAGATCCTCTTATCAAAATGCCCATGCCTAGCCATCTGTGTTTTTAGGAGTTGCAGCTATAGTGAGGTGTAACAATTTCTCCCTGCCAACTGGCTATTCGTGCCATTATTAATGAGATCTTGGGGTGGGGGAGGAATTGGCGAATAGGCATAAAAGAAGGATCACAGATGGGTAGGTTAAAGTAAGATCTTTGGGGCCTAGAAGCATTGCAAGTGAATTGTTCCATAAGTGATTTTGAAGTATAATGTTCCTGCTTGTGTATATGAAGCTAATCATATCTTTTTAAAAAATACCTTAGGATGGCTTTGCCTTCAAAACGACATACAAATACTTTATTTAAACAAACAAAACACAAAGGAGTCCTTTTTATTTCTGTTGGAAATAGTAATGAAAGTCACAAAGATTTAACAGACTCAGAAAACATACGTGCTGGTCAATGATCTCCAGCGGGCTAGGGACAAAGGCGAAAGCTGTTTCCTAGTTCTGCTGGATCTCTCAGCGGCCTTTGATACCATCGACCACGACATCCTTCTGGGGGCACTGTTATACAGTGGTTCCGCTCCTTTCTCCTGGGCCATGTCCAGAAAGTGGTGTTGGGGGATGAGTGTTCAGACCCCTGGGCTCTCACTTGTGGGGTGCCTCAGGGTTCTGTCCTCTCCCCCATGCTTTTCAACATCTACATGCAGCTGCTGGGAGGACCATCAGGGGGTTTGGGCTGGGTGTCCATCAATATGCGTATGATACCCAGCTCTACCTCTCTTTCAAATCAGAACCAGTGAAGGTCCTGTGTGAGTGTCTGGAGGCAGTTGGAGGATGGATAGCAGCTCATGGGTTGAAGTTGAATCCTGACAAGGCAGAAGTACTGTTTCTGTGGGACGGGGTGGGCGGGTGTGGAGGATTCCCTGGTCCTGAATGGGGTAACTTTGCCCCTGAAGGACCAGGTGCATCAAATGTGAGTCATTTTGGACTCACAGCTGTCCATGGAGGTGCAGGTCAATTCTGTGTCCAGGGCAGCTGTCTACCAGCTCCATCTAGTACTCAGGCTGAGACCCTACCTGCCCGCGCACTGTCTTGCCAGAGTAGTGCATCCTCTGGTTATCTCCTCCTTGGACTACTGCAATGCAGTCTATGTGGGGCTACCTTTGAAAGTGACCCGGAAACTGCAACTAATCCAGAATGTGGCAGCCAGACTGGTGACTGGGAGCGGCCGCCAAGACCATATAACACCAGTCCTGAAAGACCTACATTGGCTCCCAGTATGTTTCCAAGCACAATTCGAAGTGTTGGTGCTGACCTTTAAAGCCCTAAACGACCTTGGCCCAGTAGACCTGAAGGAGCGTCTCCACCCCCATTGTTCAGCCTGGACACTGAAGTCCATCTCTGAGAGCCATCTGGCAGTTCCCTCACTGCGAGAAGTGAAGTTACAGGGAACCAGGCAGAGGGCCTTCTCGGTAGTGGCGCCCGCCCTGCGGAACACCCTCCCATTAAATGTCAAAGAAATTAACAACTATCGGACCTTTAGAAGAAATCTGAAGGCAGCCCTGTTTAGGGAAGCTTTTAATATTTGATGAACCATTATATTTTAATATTCTGCTGGAAGCCGCCCAGAGTGGCTGGGGAAACCCAGCCAAATGGGCAGAGTATAAATATTATTACTACTACTACTACTACTACTATTACTATTACTATTACTATTACTATTACTATTACTACTACTACTACTTGCCATAATGTCAGAATTACAGAAGAGGAGAGAGAGAAATCCTAGTTCGCAACAATAGGCCAGTGGTAGGGAACTGACTGGGGTGGGTGTGACCAAAGACTTATAATGTTGTGTGTTTTTCTCACCGCTAAGTTCCTGACTAGTAAAGGTGTTGCTTTAATGTTTCCAGTTCTACGATGGCGAAAAGGTCCAGGGAAAGCACAGGCTCCAGCCCAGCCCCCAAAGGCCTTCCGCAAGGCTGCCGAGGGATCAGGGCATCAAAATCCCCTGACATGGTTTGGAATCCTTGTGCCCCAAAGCCTCCGACAAGCCCAAAGGACTTTCCAAGAAGGTGAGTGAAGTGGCTGCTCATACACTCCACATAACCTGTTCTTCCTTCCCCTTCTCATTGTACCCCAAAGAGCAATGAAGACTCTTCTGAGAGCACAGCCCTCGTTTCTTTTTCTGTCAAAAGGCAGTGGGGCTGTACAGATGGGTAAATCTGAAAGTTGTCATTGATCCTGACACACTGGAAGCAAGCAGGGATGTTGCTCTGCCCCTGATGAAAGTCTTATGTGCCCAACACTGAAAGCTAGCTCAGCTGAATACCACAAGTGGCGGCAAGGACTGTGCTGTTACTTATACCCCTTTGAGTGATCCTGGGATGCTGGATTTGGTCCCTCCAGAGACACACGTTTCCCAAAATCTCCTTTTCTGTTGCCTGAAGTCCTCTCAGTGAACACATCATACAGCTGCCGTGAGGAACCTTTGGCTCTCCATTGCTGCACTGCAAGTCTCCTCATTCCATTGTCTTTGTTGGCTGGGACTGATGAGACCTGGAGTCCCAACAACCTGTGGGGGACCACAGGCACCGCCCCCCTCCTGCCTGCCTTAGGGGGAATGTTCCAGGTTCTCTTCCATGATGCATCATCTCAACTGCCTCTCACCCTCTTCTGTTCTAGGAATTCAACTGGCTGCAGAAATCGCCTCGTTACAGAGTGACATTGAGACCACACAGAGGCATTACCATGCATTGCTGGGGGAAAAGCACAAACTTGTAGCAAGGGAAAAGCAACGCTGCCCTTGAACAGCTATGACCATCTCTCCGCGGAGAGCATAGATAGAAGAATGGGGCCTGTATTTATTGGGATGCATCCCAGAAGCCGCTTGCTCCATGTATTTTTTAACTGTACTTAATAAATAAGGGCTTCAGAAACGTCTGGAAACCTTGCTTGTGGAGATCTGTGTCCTGGTTCTTTTTGAAATGCTGGTTAGCCTTGTCGAGAGCCTTACTCTCATCCTGCCTTTTCCATAATTCTCAGGACCACATTACAATATGATTGTAGGTTTTTTCCTCTTATTTTTGTATGTTTTCAATCAGTGAGGGGGATGTCTTTGAAACAGATAAAGATCCAGTATTAACTCTTGTCTGCAAACACTGTTTAAAATACTTTGGGCCACCTCTTCACTAGCTGAGGTCGAATTGAGATGAGGTACATAACATTTGGTAATGCTAGATAAAGGTAAAGGGACCCCTGACCATTAGGTCCAGTCGTGACCGACTCTGGGGTTGCGGCGCTCATCTCGCTTTATTGGCCAAGGGAGCTGGCGTATAGCCAGCATGTGGCCAGCATGACTAAGCCGCTTCTGGTGAACCAGAACAGCGCACGGAAATGCCGTTTATCTTCCCGCCAGAGCGGTACCTATTTATCTACTTGCACTGTGACGTGCTTTCAAACTGCTAGGTGTGCAGGAGCAGGGACCGAGCAACGGGAGCTCACCCCTTCGCAGGGATTCAAACCGCTGACCTTCTGATCGGCAAGTCCTAGGCTCTGTGGTTTAACCCACAGCGCCACCCGCGTCCCAATGCTAGATAGAAAGGGACTATTTTATACTGTTTCTTTTTGGGGGGAGGGGAGTATAATTGTAGCACTGGAAAGAGATTCTGAGAGTCTTCTAGTCCACAAAGCAGGAATCTCAACTGAAGCATCCATGACAGATGACCATCCAACCTCTGCTTTAAAACCTCCCTTTTGCCACACCACTGAAATTAAGCAGCATAAAAATGTCATGGATTTAAAATAGATTAACACTCTCTTCTCCTTCCTGCTACCCTAAAAGCTCCTGCAAATTTTCCAGAAAGTGATCCTACTTGGCCTCTGATACATCCTCTTTCTATCATTTTCTCCCTCAACAGAAATTTCAAGTTTGTAGAATCAGAATTGTAGAGTTGGAAGGGATCCTGAGGCTCATCTAGTCCAACCCCTGCAACGCAGGAACATGCAGCATTGTATCCTGAGACAGATGGATAGAGGGATGAGACTTGCAACCTTGGCATTATCAGCACCGGCTCTAACCAGCTGAGCTGTTCAGGGCAGCCCTGCAGAGGGGGAGGGGCAGTGCAGACTTACTTTGGAAATGATGTTATAATTATTATGGGAAGTAGTCATGTAACTGCATATTAAGGTGAATACAATGAGGCTTATATAAGCTCACAATACAGAAAATGTTTACATTCTTAAGTGTTACATCACACATAGTTTCAGAACTGGCAGCTTGAATGTGTGAATTGTGTCCTTTGAAAAGGATTAAGATTGTGGGAGAGCTGCCAACAATTGAAGAGCGAAGGACTGGAAACCAGAGCAGAGAACAGCGCAGGGGCAATTTCACATGAGTTTGTAGCTTTGAAAAGATCACTATCCAGCCAGGATTGAACTGGGGTGACCAAGTGTGTTTACTCTCAGCTTTATGATCTAATTGATTCCTGCCAATATTTTACAGAAGAAGTTAAAGGATAGAGTGAAAAAACAAAGTTTGCAAGGGAGGGACACCGGTTGTGGGTGTGGCAACTGCAGGGAAAAGGAAGCATCGGAAAATCTGGTGCATTATGGGTGTAACAAGTAGAAGCAGATTAAGGTTTCTTTGTGGGTTTCTCAGCAGTTTGCAGAAGTGCTTGCAAAAGCGAGTACTGTACCTTGATATGACTGGCAAAGGGAGGATTTCCCCATTTCTGCTGCATTTCCTTGCTCTCTTTAGGTGCTAAGCCAAAAGCTCCTCCTCTATCTCACTCCCATATGGTCTAGCGGTTAGGATTCCTGGTTTTCACCCAGGCGGCCCGGGTTCGACTCCCGGTATGGGAAGAGTGATCTCTTTTAATGCATGCCAGGATGAAGAATTAAATAGTATCAAAGAAACGGCGCGCCAACAGTTTTATTTCTGATAGTGATCTACGTATCGAGAAACTGGCGCCTGGCTGCCCCTCCTGAGCCGGGAGCGGCTGCCCTCTCAATGGCTTGCAACCTGGAGTGAGTTCTCTCCCGCGGCGCTGCAAGCGCGGCCGAGCCCGCCTTGGGCTTCCAGGAACAGCCAGCAAAGGGGAGCAGCGAGGCGGCTGCCAGGCCTCCAAGCAACTGCCCGTGAACCGGGCGGCGCATCTGCCGCAGGCTTCTCAGAGGTGATTGATCGGTCTCGATGCGGGGGGGGGGGGGATTCAAATTCCGCAATTGGTCAGTAGGCGTCGCACTTCAGCTCCCTTCGCTCAGGCGTGCGCACCAGAGAGAGGTTTCGGGCGAGAAAAACCCACATTTCCCCCCCGCAGTTGCCCGCTGCTGTCTTTGACCCGGGAGCTGAATGTTCGAGCCCCACTCGGGGAATTTAAAAGTCTCAAAACCGTTCCAGCTTTTGTTTGCACCACCTCTTAATGCTCCTGAGACTGTTTCTATAGAAGGCTCTTTGCGAACAGGAAGAGGAGGATTGGGTTTGCATCTGCTGAACTGGGCTTGAGGCTGCAACGGGGCTGGGATGGCCGCTCTTCTTAGAAGTTCTGGTCTCTGTTGGCAGCAGGACAAGAGGTGGGGGGAGAAGAAGCCGGCGAGCCGGGCGGTGGGCGCTGATCCTGAGAAAGCAGCCGGCGGGCGCGCTCCCGTTCTCTGCCCGGGGGGGGGCTGGTTCCGGAGACTCCCGCAAGGAGGGCAAGGCAAGCGCAGCCTGAAATTCCGGCAGGCGGGCACAGGGAAGTGCAAACTCGCAGCCCCATCTACCGCAATGCCAAAATCCAGACACCCAAATTTTCCAGCAATCCTGCAGTTAAGCAGCTGCAATAATTTAGGGTTGCCATATTTCAAAAAGTAAAATCTAGGACACCCCGAAAGTTGTTGCGCTTCTTTTAGACAAACCGCAAAGTTGTTGAGCTTTTTCTTACAAAACCGCCCAAACACCGCGATTTCTCGAGTGACTTGCCTAAGATCTAGGACAAAGCAGCGCCTCTGCCTTTGCAATAGGAAGGGGGCGCGAGGATGCAATTCCCTCCTCTCCCCGGAGGGGGCAACGGTGAGCATCTCTGTCCTGGACTGGCTCGTACATTACCCGGTGCCTGTTCGCGCTTCTCCCATATGGTCTAGCGGTTAGGATTCCTGGTTTTCACCCAGGCGGCCCGGGTTCGACTCCCGGTATGGGAAGAGTGATCTTTTCCTGCCCCCGCTCTGCACCATTTACCTTTTTTCAGAGCATCTGCTACTAAATAACCCTTTAGGCCAGGCAAGAAGAGTCTTCCAAATGTCTGTTTAAAGCGAGTAAGGAACGTGTCTGCACATGCGAAGCGCCTGAGAGTGAGAGGTTTGTGTGGCAGGCTATGCTGGGTTAAGCGCTGCAGCCCATGTGCTTTGCATGGCACCCTCTTGTTTTGGAAGAGAAAAAGTGATCACAGACACACACAAATATATTCTTTCCTGAAGTAGAATAATATTACACTTGCTTATAGAAATCTTCCTAGGAAATGCTTTTGCTTCATTTTTCTTCCAAAAAAGAGAGAGAGAAGAAATAGTATCATCCTGGTGCAAAGTGTGACCTGCTCTCCTCTGTCTGACAAGATTCAGCGAAGGAGGCTTCTGCCAGCCGCCTCCCATATGGTCTAGCGGTTAGGATTCCTGGTTTTCACCCAGGCGGCCCGGGTTCGACTCCCGGTATGGGAAGCTCTTAATTTTAGTTTCTCTCTTCCACTTAACATCTTGTAATTCAGTCTCCCTCCGCTTTCCAAATGCGCTTCAGGTCATGAAAACGCTCTTTATTTGCCGTTTTGAATGCGATGGGAAGCATGCGTGCCTTTTGCCGCTGGCCATCGCAGCAGCGCCACGAACTGGGGGAAAAGGAGGAGATCTGGGCGACTCCAGGGAACAAAAAGCGCACCTTCCCATACCGGGAGTCGAACCCGGGCCGCCTGGGTGAAAACCAGGAATCCTAACCGCTAGACCATATGGGAGCCGCTGCTCCGCGCTCTTCCGCGCGGCTTCCTCAGGCGCCGAGAGCCGGGCGGGCGGCGCTGCGGGCCTCCAGGGAGAGGCTCGTGCCCGGCAGGCGCGCCTCCTGCTGCGCGCGTTCCCGCGGGGCTGCCGGCCAAGCGCGCCTCTCTGTACGCCGCTTTGCGTGTTAGAGCAAAATAAAATAAAAGGAAGCGGTGCGTAATATTTTCTAATGAAATAAATAAGCAAAGCTGCTTGCTGCGCGCCCCGCGTGCACGCGCAGCCCCGGGAAGCGTCGCCATGGCAACGCGGGCCGGGAGGATGCTGGCGGGAGCCGGAAGTGCTCTCTCTCCCGGCCGCGTTTCCAAGGCGAGGATGCCCGTGACGGGCGGGGAGGGAGGCCAATGGGAGAGAGAGGCGGGCCTTGGCGGGAGCTGGTCCTGATGCTGCCGCCGCCGCTCGGGGCTGCGGGGTGAGGGCAGGATGGAGGGGCCGGGCGAGGAGGCTGGCGGGGGAAGGGGATGGAGGCCGGCAGGGCGGGCAGGCCTGCTGGGTGGGTCTCCCCAGGGGGTTGTCCAGGAATGGGGGCTGGTGGGGAGGGGGCCGTTGGAAGAATGGGGGAGCAGCAGTGGAGGCAGAGGGAGCAGCCATGGCCACAGGCAACCTGGGCCTCATGGGGAAACCAGAAAGAGCCATCTGGGGTGGGGGCCGCCTTTGCCACACACCTGCACCCAAGAGGAAATTCCCCTCAGCATGTTGCTGGGCAACGAGAGGGGGCAGGCTATCAGTAGTGACCCGCTGCCTGGTGGGCAAGTGTGCTGTCACAGACGGGTGGCAGAGAGCAATGGAGAGAGAAGGCCAAGTGGATGCAGGAATAACGGCTGCACAAGACCTGGAGACCAGGGAAATGTTTGGGGCAGAAGAACGTTCCTTGGACCGGGGACAAGGGCAGGGTGTTGCAAAATGTACTGGTGTGTAGATTTTGAGGGAGGGCCAATTGTGGATGTCCGCCTGGGGGACGCCAAGGAAGGGTACAGCCTTTTGTGGGTTGTGGGACCAACAGAGAGGGTGCGGTTCTTTTGGTGGCATGGCAGCTGTAGAACACTAGCAACTAGCACTTCTTGAAGCTTATGAGAGGAAAAAAGGATTCATCCCTCTGCACCCCTCCCCCCTCTGCTTTCCCACAGAGACAGTGGGGACCATGGGGCTGGTGGCTTGCAAAGGGCACTAGCCTCTGCCTGTGAAGAGGCCTCAACTCTGTGACCCCCTCCCCCCCACCATCATGGAGCCCCTGAAGGAGAGGGCTGGGTGGTGCGCAGGGTACCCGGGGGAGGAGGCTGTCGCTGAAATGAGACCCTTGCTGCAAGAGGACATCAGCCAGGTGAGTGCCACCAAGACCACTCATTGGGATGCCTGATCTTTTCTACCTGCCCCCCTGCATCCCTCTTTGGAGTTGCAGAGCTCTAATAAGCCCAACACCAGACTTGATCCAATAGCAAGGCTCTTCTTGTGTATGGAAACTCACAATAAGTGCCAGAAAACGATAGCCAAAACACTGTGAATTCTGGCAACAGCAACAATTCACATGAGAATATTTCCCTCTGCATTGGCTGAGGATTGGCCACCCGTACGCCCAGTTCCATTTCCCCTCTTTCTGCTGATCCTCCAGCAGCAGCAGTAACTGGGAGATCAGACCAGCACCCATCAGATTTCCAACAATGGGTGACCCTATGCCTCGCCAGCTATATTGGTAGGACCTCATTGTGCTGTGTGTGGTTTCTTTCAGGATGGCATTGCGATGGGGGTTGAGCCTACAGGCTGGGGGACAGATGACCCAGACTTAGAGGAGAATGAGGTTGGCACAGATCCTGTTCGGGTCATGATGTTGCCACTTCAAGCCCAGCATGCCATGGAGAAGATGGAAGAATTTGTCCTGAAGGTGAGTGACATATGTGGCTGGGAAGCGCCTGTGAGCAGTCCTGGCTCAAAACAAGCCTCCTTGGGCGCTCCCTGTTTTTCTTGCTTCACTCTTCCTCAGTTTTGCCCTGAGAAACTGGACACCAGTTCTCCCCCTGGCTGTCCGGCCGTCCTCTCTTCTTCATTTTATGGGCTGCTACCCAATCAGTGCTAAGGCAAACTGGGCATGTCACAAAAGTGCCCACGGGTCTGATATTATGACTTCAGCTACTGCCCATTGGCCTCCTCCCCAGCTTCGCAAGGCGCAGGGAAGCTCAACAGTCACACAACCCTGGAGAAGAGGGGGAGATGGAGTAGTGTAGTCGTGGGCAAGAGGCTCTCCTCTCTGCCATGACACCCCGCTCTGAGCCAGCTCTCAGGGCCAAGCCCAACAGGGCATAGTATCTGGAAGCCAGCGAAGAGAAAGCAGCCCAGTGGTGCTCCCTCTCTCCTGATGGGGTCCCCTGGAGGCCCTCGACTGAGGGAGGCCATGGGCAAGGGAGAGAAGGCCACACAAAGTGCAAAAAGGACTGGCCTGAGGGGTCAGGAAACAGAAAAGGAGGCTGCTACACAGGAGGAGGAGGACTGCTGCTGGGTTCAGGCAAGTGACAACTAACAGGGTGGGGCTTTGAGGGCCTGTGGCAACCCCACTGGTTGGTGGACCTCAGAATTAATTGCATGGTTTCACCAACCACTGCATTTATTTATATATTTTAAGATATTTATATGCCTTGGCAAAAAACCAACCAAAACCCACAATAAACAAACTACCGTGACATTTATATAAGCACATTTCAAATGTTCAAAGCTTTACCATAGCCCTGTAAGGTAGGCCAGCATCATTATTGCCCCACATTGCAAATGGCGGGCTGAGAGAATTGGCAGCACTGCTAAGGCCTACTGAGTGTGTTTATGGTGAAGTGCCAAAGCAGACAAGATCCTTATTTGTATATTTACCTGTCTGCCACACTCATGTGTAATGAATTTGGAGGTCTGGCTTCTTTATTTATTTTACACCAAAAGGTGGCATGAGAATGGTGGGAACGGGGACACCCACACATTGCCACCTTATCGTCTGCCCCGGTCTCCTGCTTCACCTTCAGTGTCTGTCAAGCTGGGCTAATGGAGGTGGGAGCACCCCGCACTATGCCCCAAACATGCTCCTCCCCACACCTTATACTTAGTGGGTCAGATGCGTGAGCAACAAGCATGGAAGCCCAGGTCGCCTCTGCTGTGGCCCTGAGGTGAGGATGCTTGAACCAGGCTGCAGACTAATACCCACTGACCTGGGAGTAAGCCCCATTGAACTCAGTGGGACTCTGAAAAGGTATTTATGGGATTGCCTTTGTTGCCAGAGTGTTGAGCGGGGAGGGAACTGCGTTCTGTTCCCCCTGCAGCCGTGAAGCTGAATCCACAGAGAACTCTTGGCTTTGCTTCACCAAAGCAGCCCTGGAGGTGGTTGTTTTCTTTACAGAATATTCTCAGCACTCTCAAAAGCCACATCTTCTGTGTTCCTTATGAAATGCAATGACACTTTAAAACTTCCTTATGTAAAAAAATTCTCTTTAGAGCAGTGTCCTCACCCCCATTTTTTAAAAAATAAATGAAGCATACAGAATCAGCACACATGTACATACTTTTGATACTGGGGGAACAGTTTGATTTTAGTTTACTTTTTTGAATTATGGAGACACAGTTCACTCTTACAAAAGATGAATACCATATTATTCTAGTTCAGCTCCTAGTATAATCAACAGGCAAGATCCTTTCCTGTGCCTTAGCCTCAGGCTGCACTCACATACTGCTCATTCTGCACCCAGTTTGCTCCCACCACGGGTAGCAGAAGTGGGGTACACACATTAACCACAATCCATGCCTATCCTTTATCTACTGCATGCTGTCATTTTAAAAAAATGGAAGTTCTATGTTTAAGTGTGTTTTTCCTCAAAACAGCTCCGACTGAAGTTCAAAAAGAGAACGGCCTAGCTGCGTTTTAAGCCAGTAATGTCTACACAGCCTCCGTCTTTTCTCCCGTTGTAGGTCTGGGAGGGCCGCTGGCGTGTCATGCCTTATGATGTGCTGCCTGACTGGCTGAAGGACAATGACTTCCTCCTCCATGGGCACCGGCCGCCCATGCCCTCCTTCCGTGCTTGTTTCCGAAGCATCTTCCGCCTCCACACGGAGACAGGCAACATCTGGACACATCTGCTTGGTCAGTCATGGGGCTCTGCTCCGCACAGCAAGAACCTGGTGTGGTGGGGGAAGAGGAAGGGGGCAATCTGGATTAGCTCCCTTCTTCTTCTGTGTCTCACATCATAGCAAACTATTTCAGCTTCAGAATATAGCTACCATCTTCTTTGTTAATATTTTTTAAAAATCAGCATAAGAGATACTTAACAGGTAACACAAATATGGTTCACTGGTGGTGTTTCCTGACAGTCTGCATCCTAATCACTATGTTAGTGAGCTTCACTTTTCATATACAGTGGTACCTCAGTTTTTGAATGTAATCCGTTCCGGAAGACTGTTCAAATTCTGAAACATTTTAAAACTGAAAACTCAATAGCAGACAGCTAGGCCTCAGGATCTTGCACTTAGCGGAAGCTGCGTGGCATGTTCGACTTTCGAGGCATGTTCGAAAACTGAAGCACTTACTTCCGGGTTTATGGCCTTCGAAAACCGAAATGTTCGTCAATGGAGACGTTTGAAAACCAAGGTACCACTGTATTAGTAAGCTTCAATGTTTATTGTGCAAGTACTCAGGGCAGAACATTAGACTTGTTTACCTCTGTTTGCTTGTTTATTTTGCATATGCACCTCTCTTGTGCTGCAGGGAAACTGTGTGTGAGAGAGAGATAAGGGGCGATGGGACACAGGTTCAGGTTTTTCCAGTTGACACCCCTGACTTCATGGGGAAGTGACCACAGACCGCCAGGCCCAGAGACGGCCCCCTCCAGGTCTCTATTTGTGCAGGGCTGCTTGTGACCTCTGCCTGCTTCTGGCAGAGCAGAGTCATTTCCTCCAAATTCCTGAGAGGACCACCCTTTCAGTGTGGTTGGGGTATGTGGAGACACCTAGAAAGAGATGTGGGCAGCTTTCTTCTCTTCCTCTCCCAGGGTTCCTCTTCTTCTTGGTCTTGGGCATAGGATACATGATCAGCCCCAACATGAAGTACGTTGCCCCCATCCAGGAGCGTGTTGTCTTTGGAATGTTCTTCTTGGGAGCCATCCTTTGCCTCTGCTTCTCCTGGCTGTTCCACACGGTCTACTGCCACTCAGAGGAGGTTTCCCGCACCTTCTCCAAGTAAGTCTACCGCCTGCCTGCTTCACCTGCCCCCCACCCCCCCCAGGTCTTCTGGGACACATGGGAAGTGGGAGACGGTGAGGAGCAAGAGTATCTTCCGTGGCACCGAAGCTCTCAAGAGACACAAGTGCTTGGAGCATCAGTGGGGAGCTCTTCTCTGGCTGGCAATAGATGCACGGACGGTTTTAAGAGAGTCAAAGCCCTTGTGTTAGGGTGGCCATGTGTCCTACTTTACAGAGGACTGTCCTCTATTTCTGAAGGGCTGTCAGGGGCCATCACTTTATCTGAAGGTATCCTCTATGGGAGGGCTGCTCAGGCCATGTGTGGTTTAAATATAGAGGGAGGGGGCCCTTGAAGTTGCCTCTCAGCCAGGGTGGATTTGATTTAAATCACTAGGCAGTAAGACTTGATTTAAATTATTTTTTTACAGAAAGACTCATTCTTGCTGGTATAATCTTAATATTTACAACCAGATGAAGGCTTCATTTTTGGAATAATAAATGTTCAGAGTAGTTTTTACAGTTATATCAAAAAATACTGATTTGGTTATACTATTAGAAATACATAGATAGATAATTATGAAATTATTGTGAGGTTTAATAAGTTAACTGTTTCTATTTGGACAACTTTTCTGCTGTACTTGATTGGAAGGAGAAAAATAATAATTTTCTTAATAACAATTTAAACAATTTATTTAACTAAAACAATAACATTATAGCATATGTATCCATAACTGATGTATCCATAACTCCATAACTGAGTTTTAGCACACATGAAAAACTTAAAACAAATCCTTATTTCCTAATGAATAGCCTTTGGACTATCATGTAACTTAAATAGAAAACTATCTTTAGAAAGATTTTTTCCTCCAAAAGCATTTTATTTTAAAAATCCAATTTAAATTTTAAAAAATCCAATTTAAATAATAAAACCCGATTTTTTATTTTAAAAAATCATTGATTTTTATCCGCCCTGCCCTCAACAGTTAGCAGCACCTGCTCAGAAGACAGAGCCAGCTGGCAAGCTGTCCACGTCTTCCCTACTTGGGTGAGGTGGTGTTCATTTCCATTTAATTATCGTAATTATTTCTTAATTTGCAGCTGTGAGTATAAGTCACCATGTGCAAATTTTATGCAGATTGGTGCCCTCCTTTTTGCCCTGTTTTCTGCTGATGTGTCACTCTGTCCTTCTGTGCTGCCATAATGCCAAGCATTGAGAGCCAGTGTGGAGTAGTGGTTCAGAGCGGTGGATTCGTAATCTGGTGAACCGGGTTCGTGTCTCCGCTCCTCCACATGCAGCTGCTGGGTGACCTTGGGCCAGTCACACTTCTCTGAAGTCTCTCAGCCCCACTCACCTCACAGAGTGTTTGTTGTGGGGAAGGAAGGGAAAGGAGAATGTTAGCCGCTTTGAGACTCCTTCGAGTACTGATAAAGTGGGATAACAAATCCAAACTCTTCTTCAAGCTCTTCTAGCATACAGTCCCTGTGCCTCAATGGGGTCTACCCTGGGCTCCCCTTTTAAAGAAATTTCTAGCATGTCGATCAGCATCAGCTGGCTAGGTCTGGGAGCCCCCTTTAAATTTCCCACAATGCCCCCCAACCCAGTGTTGCCTGGGGCAGCATGAGAAATTCAAGCATCTCCCACATTGGCCTCAGCAGCACATGCCATGTGAGGGGCATCATGGGAAATTCAAGCAGCCTCCTGGTGCTGGGGGAGGGCTGCCTGCTCTGTCTGTCTACTGGCAAGCCCACCCTGCTTTCTGTTGTGCAGACTGGATTACTCTGGAATCGCCCTGCTCACCATGGGCAGTTTTGTTCCCTGGCTCTATTACTCCTTTTACTGTTCACCTCAACCCCAACTCATCTACCTCGTCATCATTTGTGTCCTGGGCGTCACGGCCATCATGGTGTCGCAGTGGGACCACTTTGCCACCCCACAGTACCGGGCCGTCCGAGCAGGTAATCATGCACAATTGTCGTTTTGGCATTGCTTGTGATGGATCGGGCCCCATTGGAGGATTTCCTTAGAACACACCCATGTAGTTAGAAAGCCGTAGGCTCTGAAAGTGCCAGAACACAGCTGGACCCTCAGAATGGATCTCATTCTGATAAATGCATTTCCCAGTTGAGATATAGTACTTCTACACCAGGAATCACTTTGGAAATCAAGCTCGGTTAAAATAGTTCTGTTTACTAGCAAAATACAAATTTTTACAGAGCAAAAGCTTAACTTGAGGGTAGTGCAAAAATACAACCAGGATGATCCAGGGTCTGGAAACCAAGCCTTCTGAGGAGTGGTTGAAGGAGCTGCGTATCTTTAACCTGGAGATGAGACTGTGAGGAGATAGGGTAGCCATCTTCCAATATCTCAAGGGCTGCCCCATGGAAGAGGGACCAAGCTTGTTTTCTCCTGCTCTGGAGGGGAGGACTCCAAGAAAGGAGATTTGGACTAAACACCAGAAAGAACTTTCTGACAGTCAGAGCTATTTGATAGTGGAAGGGACTCCCTTGGAAGGTGGTGGACTCTCCTTCCTTGGAGATTTTTAAGCAGAGGTTGGATGGCCATCTGTCATGGACGCTTTAGTTGCGATTCAGCACTAGATGACCCTTGGGGTCCCTTCCGAGTCTAGAAGTCTATGATTCTGTGACATGGCCAAAGTGTGCAGTAACACGTTGTTAAAGGCATTTTTCCCACTTGGAAGCTAGTAACAGGATTAGTACATAACAATGTGTGGAACTAGCGTAGCATAATGGCAAAAAGTTTAGTGGGAGAGCCAGACTTTAGTTCAAGTCTCATCCTATGGCTATAGATGAGGGTTAGCCAATCTAGCACCTCTATATATTGTTGGACTCCAACTCTCTTCAACCCTGACCACTGGTCATGCTGGCTGGGAATGATGGGATCTGGAGTCTAGCAATCTGAATTCCATGGAATATTTTAATACCTATTTTTAATACTATCCTGTTTTATTTTATACTGTTGTAAAATGCTGTAAAATGTTGTAGGGACGCGGGTGGCGCTGTGGGTAAAAGCCTCAGCGCCTAGGGCTTGCTGATCGAAAGGTCGGTGGTTCGAATCCCCGCGGCGGGGTGCGCTCCCGCTGCTCGGTCCCAGCGCCTGCCAACCTAGCAGTTCGAAAGCACTCCCGGGTGCAAGTAGATAAATAGGGACCGCTTTATAGCGGGAAGGTAAACGGCGTTTCCGTGTGCGGCTCTCTGGCACGCTGGCCACGATGTCACGCTGGTCTCCGGACAGCGCTGGCCCCCGGCCTCTTAAGTGAGATGGGCACACAACCCTAGAGTCTGTCAAGACTGGCCCGTACGGGCAGGGGTTCCTTTACCTTTACTAAAATGCTTAGAGATTTCATTTACAGTGAAATGGCATACAAATTTTAATAAATAAATTAAATAAAAATACAATTAAAAAGCATACAGTATCTAGCACAGTACAGTACAATTGTTACAACAGACAGAAAATCATTGAGGGGTCTGTCAAGACCCCTAGCAATTTTCAAGTGGTCCTGGTGCAGGAGCAGGGAGTCTGGGAACCATTGGTCTAGATAATTCGGCTTCTTTGTACATGCTCTTCTATTCTCCATATTTGACATTAAACTTTAGTTCCAGGATTGAGACCAGATAAGGCCTTCTTTCTATTAATCCCCGAGAGGAGCTCATCCACACAGTGACCTTTCTTATTTCTCGGACAGGGGTGTTCCTGGGCCTGGGGCTGAGTGGCTTGGCGCCCACACTCCACTTCGTGATTGCTGAAGGTTTCATCAAGGCCACGACCGTGGGGCAGATCGGCTGGCTCTTCCTCATGGCAATCCTCTACATCCTGGGCGTGGGCCTGTACGCTGCCCGAATCCCTGAACGCTTCTTCCCGGGCAAGTGTGACATATGGGTACGTGTTGTGTGGGAGGAACTGGCCTTTGGGGTGTCTAAGGGCAAGATAAAAACTGTGAGTCTGAATTCCCTGCATCTTCATGTCAGGTTTGGAATATCTCCTTCCTCAAGGGACAGTAAAGCTCAGAGTTGGAAGACACACTTGGCCACAGGATGTCAAAAGAATCAGGGGATGCAGAAGCCCTTTTTCTGCCCAAGACCCAAGAGAATAATAATAATAATATTTTTTTATTTATATCCTGCCCTCCCCAGCCAAGGCTGGGCTCAGGGCGGCTAACAAGCAATAATAAAAATAAGTTGAATAAATACAACTTAAAAACAAAATTAAAATACATTAAAATATTGAAACATTCAAATATTAAAATGTAGCCTCATCGCAGGAGGAGAAAGGAAAAGAAAAAAGAAAGAGTGGGAGGGAATCAAATTGGCTCCAAGCCAAAGGCCAGGCGGAACCACTCTGTCTTACAGGCCCTGCAGAAAGAGATCAGATCCTGCAGGGCCCTGGTCTCATGAGGCAGAGCGTTCCACCAGGCCAGAGTTAAAAAGGCCCTGGCTCTGGTTGAAGCCAATCTAACTTCCTTAGGGCCTGGGACCACTAGGGTGTTGTTATTTATGGACCTTGAGGCTCTCCGTGGGGCATACCAGGAGAGGCGGTCCCGTAGGTATGAGGGTCCTAGGCCGTGAAGGGCTTTAAAAGTCAAAAGCAGCACCTTAAATCTGACCCTGTACTCCACCGGGAGCCAGTGCAGCTTGAAAAGCACTGGGTGAATATGCTCCCATAGCAAAGACCCCGTGAGGAGCCTCGCTGCAGCATTCCGTACCCGCTGGAGTTTCTGGGACAGCTTCAAGGGCAGCCCCACGTAGAGCGAATTACAGTAGTCAAGCCTGGAGATGACCGTCGCATGGATCACTGTGGCCAGGTCGGGGCGGGAAAGGTAAGGGACCAACTGCTTGATGCGGTGAAGGTGGAAAAATGTCACCTTGGCTGTTGCTGTAACCTGCGCCTCCATGGAAAGGGAGGCGTCAAGGATTACACCCAAACTCTTAATGGAAGGCAATGGCACTAACTGGGCCCCCGCAAGAGAAGGGAGTTGGTCCCTCATCCCCATGCTATCCCGACCCAGCCATAGGACCTCTGTCTTCGAAGGATTTAGTTTCAATCGGCTCCCACAAAACTATCCAGCCGCAGCTTCCAAGCATCTGGTCAGTGTGTTCGGGGCCGAGTCAGTGTGGCCATCCATCAGCAGATAGAGCTGAGTGTCATCAGCATATTGGTGACAGCCCAGCCCAAAGCTCCGGATAATCTGGGCAAGGGGGCGCAAAAGATGTTAAAAAGCATCGGGGAGAGGATTGCGGCCTGCGGCACTCCACACACCAAGGAGTGGCGCAACGACATTTCCCTCCCTAGTGCCACCCTCTGACCCGACCAGAGATAAAAAAGCACAGCCATTTACGGGCTATGCCCTGTATCCCCACGTCTGCGAGGCGATGGTCCAGAAGATCATGATCGACCATGTCAAAGGCTGCTGACAAATCTAAAAGGATCAGCAGTCCTGACCCGCCTCGATCCAGTTGTCTACGGAGATCATCTATTAGGGCAACCAGAGCCGTCTCGGTCCCGAAACCAGGACGGAAACCGGACTGAAATGGATCTAAAGCCGATATTTCCTCCAGAAACCTACCAAGCTGTTCAGCAACCGCTCTCTCAATTACCTTACCCAGATATGGAAGATTTGAAACTGGACGGTAATTGGATAGGTCTAAAGGATCTAGTGAAGTTTTCTTTAAGAGCGGACACACCACTGCTTCCTTCAATTCCCCTGGGAATGTCCCCATGCCAAGGGACAAATTGATAATTTCAACCAGGGGGGTCCGCGCGACATCTGGACACGCCCTAATCAACCAAGACTGGCACGGATCAAGGAGGCAGGTGGTGGGCCTACCAGCTTAGAGGAATCTATCCACATCAGCAGGGAGTATCCGATCGAAATGGTCCAACACTGGACCTGAAGTCAGTCGAGGGGCCTCCAGTTCAGTCACTGTATCTAAACTGGCAGGGAGGTCACAGCAGAGCAACAGGACTTTCTCCGCAAAAAAGCTCGTGAATGCCTCACAGCTGTGGGTCGAATTTGTGCTTAAATTTGGTTGTCCTCCTAAGGACGTTATTGACTTAATTATTCTAAAAAGTTGTTCCGGGCGAGAGCTAGCAGATGCAATGGTAGCTGCAAAGTAAGATTTCTTAGCAGCTTTCATAGCCATCTCATAGGCTTTCATAAGCGTCCTCTAAGATGTTCTTGAGGCTCCGTCACGAGTCCGTCGCCATACTCGCTCTAGCTGTCTGAGATCCCGCTTCATTTTCTGGAGCTCCTCAGTAAACCAAGGGGCCCGGTTTCGACAGGGTCACAGAGGGCTCTTAGGCGCAATCTCATCGATGGCTGCCAAGAGCTGGTTATTCCAGTCCTCAACAAGGTCATCTAATGCAGTGTTTCCCAACCTTGGGCCTCCAGCTGTTTTTGGACTACAACTCCCATCATCCCTAGCTAGCAAGACCAGTGGTCAGGGATGATGGGAATTGTAGTTCAAAAACAGCTGGAGGCCCAAGGTTGGGAAACACTGATCTAATGAGTTGCCAGGAGGCGCAGGGTCCCGCAAGGCCTGACGGAATCTATCAGGATCCATCAGCCTTCGCGGGCGAGCCCAAATAGGCTCGCCACCCGAGCAGGGGAGGAGCGGGAAGTCAGTCTTGGCTTTCAGAGCGTAGTGATCAGACCACGGCACTTCCACAGCGGGGAGCATGATCTCATCTATGCCAGCCCCAAAGATCAGATCCAGCGTGTGGCCTGCTTGATTAGTGGGGCCCAAAATAAACTGGGAGAGCCCTAGTGTTGCCATGGAAGTCACTAGGGCCAGAGCCTGTGAGGAGGGGGCGGCATCGGCATGGACGTTGAAGTCTCCCAAAACCAGTAGGCTTGGGAACCCCAAGGCCAAGCTCGCCGCCACCTCCAGCAGGTCTGACAGGGTCTGAAGAATCAGATTTAGCAACACTGGCACAAGGAAGCCCCACCATTTTTGTGATATTAATGCTTGAATTTATTTAAGCTTCCTGTAAACCAAGAATGGGGAACCAGAGGTTGTTGGATTCCAGATCCCACCAGCTCCAGACAGCACAGCCAAGGGTCAGGGGCTGATGGGAGCTGTAGTCCAGCAACATCTGGGGGGTCATGAAGGCCCCATCCCTGATCTAAAATACAATGCAATACAAAATGAGACAATGCAATCGTTATACAGTGGTACCTTGGGTTACAGATGCTTCAGGTTACAGACACTTCTGCTAACCCAGAAATAGTACCTTGGGTTAAGAACTTTGCTTCAGGATGAGAACAGAAATTGCACGACTGCGGCGGCAGCAGGAGGCCCCATTAGCTAAAGTGGTACCTCAGGTTAAGAACAGTTTCAGGTTAAGAACGGACCTCCGGAACAAATTAAGTTCTTAACCAAGAGGTACCACTGTACCTGAAAAGCCTGGCCTGGTTGAGAAATAGCTAAGTGTCCATTAGAGTTGCTTCTTTCTGTCTCTCTGGGCAGAAATCTTGCACTTTTGACAGCTTCACAACAGTCAGATGTTCAACTGGTCTGGCTTTTCTCCCAGCATGGAAAAGCATTGATGCAGTAAGCTTCACTTTAGACATTTATGTCTGTTGTGGAGCTGTAAAATGCAAAGCAAATTGGCCAGAATGAAGGAAGCAATTCTAGTGGCATTGCAGCTTTAGATGGTGCCTCAGCAACGCCTACTTCTGAGTGAACATAAGTCACACAGTTTAATGAAGAATACAAGTAGCTTAGGCAGGCTGCATTCTACAAGTGTGTTGGGTACCTTTTAAAATTAAGCACTAAACTGGGAAGCGAAGCATTCCTGGCTTCTCTGGGCCATTGTTTCCCTCCAGGTTTTTTGTTTAAACCCATTGGTGGGTTTAAAGTAGGGATGGGGGAACGGGAACCTGTGTCCCTCCAAATGTCATTAACCTCTGACCCCCCTTGGTCCCAGCCAGCAGGCGCAGTTGTTGAAGATGATGGGCTTGTAGTGCAGGTTCCCCATCGCTGGTTCACAGGGGTTGGGGGGAAGGAACTCTCCAGCCGGCAAGCCTCACATGGAGAGAGCCCATGCCATCAGAAATCCTGGGTTCAGCTTCTTTCTCTCTTTCTCTCTCTCTCTCTCCCCCCTCCCGCTCCTTCTTCTTCCTGCTCCAGTTCCACTCCCACCAAATCTTCCATGTGCTGGTGGTGGCGGCTGCTTGTGTCCATCTCCACGGGGTCTCCCAGCTGCAAGCGTTCCGCTCTTCCTTGGGGGGCACCTGCACCGAGAACACTGTGCTCTGATAGCCTTCCTAGAGCAGACTGACCACCTCTCCTGGACAAGGGCAGCCCTTCACACTGCACTCCGTATGGACCAAGAGGACAGGCCCCCCCCCCTTATTAAGGGCACTGCACCTGTTTGAGGAGGGGGCTGTTCCTCCCTTCTCCTTCCTTCCTTTGAAGAAAATTGCTGTGTCTCAGATCTTTTTATTCTTGGGGGCAGGGGCTTCCTTTTCTCCCTATCAGGGCAGCTCTCTCGTGTGTGCACACACATGCACAAAATGCCAGAAGGTATTTAAATTAGGATGAGGAACCAAAGCAATGGAACAGGACTAAAACAGTCCCTGGAAACAGCTTAGGACTCCCCTAGCCAACCCCGAAGTTTCTGAGAGTGGGATGGGTGCAGGGGGCCTCTGTGTGGGCCAAGGGGATGCTGATGTTATAGTATGAAGGTCCAAGCATGGGTCTGACAAGGCCTTAGTGTGTGCGTCTGTGTGTTCAATCAGTATTTATGAGGGATTTGTTTTAAACTGGCCACTAAGGGAGCATGCACTCTGCTCAAAAGCACAGCAACCCCTTTTTTTGCTCAAACTGAACTCTGATCTCTTTGGTCAGGCAGGACTTCTGGCTTCCACGCCCAGCCCTCCCAAGGAAAGATATGGATTGGTTTCTGGGAAGCCCTCTAGGTAAAGGCCAGGGGCATCTTAGGGTCTTGGGTCAAAGGCCAATGGGGAAGAGCCTTCGCCAGGCTGAAATCAGTGCACAGCAGACTTGCATAGTTGTCATCCTGGCAAGGGAAATAATCAGGGTGGGGATGGGTGCAGCTGTGGGCCCCCAAGTCGTCCCTCCTTATTCTGGGGAGTGGGGTGCCGAAATGTGCTACGGGGCAGGCAGGAGCCAGGATTCCTGGGCTCTGCAACCTGCTAGAAAAGATGTATGGTAAACTCTTTTTTTGGTGGGGGCAGGGGAGGGCAAGCTATGTGGATTTTGTCTGGTAAAATAAGAATGCCTTTTATGCATAAAGGGATCAATGTCTTAGGCAGGGGAAAGCCTTCCTGCACATAGACTGTGATCTCCACCCCTTCACCAGCATTTAATAGCCCAGAGATGGGCCTGTGGAGAGCAATCCCGTGCCCAGCACTTTTTGTCACAGGCCCTCTGCTTCTGCACCCTCCACTGTTGGGTTGAAATAAACGACAGACGAATGGCAAGTGTCATCTGGGAGGCATCTCCCGAGCATGTCTCGGGGAGTCCCTTTTATTGAATATTACAGCATTGCCACGTATGTGCTTGTTGCTGATTGGTTAACACAAATACATTGCCAGGGCTGCATATAAGACATTAATCATCGATAGATAAAAGGTTGGGAGAAGGAACACAGAGTTAGACAGGCCTGAAAGCCTCCTTATTAAACAATTGCTAATGATTGATATAGCGAGACTTGAAGAATGTACAGAAAGATAGGAACAGGTCAGGGATGATGTTTCATGAACTCAAGATGAACTGAACATTCCAGGGTGGTAAGAAGAGAATGTCCCATCACTCCACCCCACAACAAACAGCAGGAGGTCTTCTTTTTCTCCACTGAAAACAGTGGTGCTGGGACTTCTTTGATCTAGGGTGTTTGGCAGGTGAAACACACCTGAAGGGGCTCCACTTCATTTACCTTTATAACGAAAGGCCATCAGTCCATGCACTTGCTGAAGAATCCTCAGCCCTTTGCTCCTTGGGGAGAAGAGGTGCAGATGGCAGGGGCCAGTGTCTGTATTGGGGAGGAGGGCACTTTCCCCCTTTGTTCATGCCCGGCAACCCAAATTAGAAGGACAAGTCGCTCCAATATCATTGACCTTGTTGTGTCACAGTCTCCTGGGAATGCAAGCTGCCCAGCAGCTCTCTGGATTGGGCTGCACAGTGGGAAAGCAGGATATGGATCTCCTAATTTGGGAGTGCTGTGCAGTGTGCGCCCAACACCAGTGCTTCAACTCTGTGGGAGAGGAGCACTGGCAGAGGAAGGGGGGGTGCGGTCCGCCCTGGGTGTCATCCCTGAGAGGGGCTGCCCCCGCGGGCACAGCATGTATGCCGCTCTGGGTGCTGGAGCAGCTAGCTCCGCCTTTGGACAGGAGGCAAGGCTACGGCCCAATGGACAAGTCTGAAAGGGCAGGCGGGTAATTCTGAGATCTGAATCTTATTCTCTTTCTCCTGCTCTGCACAGTTCATTTTTACGTATATTAAAGATGCAATGGCACAGGGAATGGGATGGCAAGAGGAGGCCCAAAGATATCCTGTATTCTGTTTTTATGGTGAGAGTGTAACCTGACCCCCAAAGGAATGGAGCAGCAGGAGGAGGTGGCTTGGAAAGAATAGTCCTTGCAATTCTTTGTGCGACTCCTGCCTCTGCCTTATATCGAACAGTTGGGAGGGGGGTGGTGGCATTTAAGCTAAGACCTCTCCTGCTGCTTTTTGAATATATGACACTGCCACCTTTCTTTCGTTTGGCAACTCTAGCCAGCTTGTAAGGAGTAACGAGGCATGCTTCGCACCCCATTTGCCTCCATGCCGGGTCTGCTGGGAGCATGTGGAAGCACTTTAATCATAAAGATAATAATATCTAAGTTGGTGGCACCTCTCCAGGCGAGATGGTACATGTTAACATTACAGAATGAAGAAATCCCTCCTTTTGTGATGATCTTTGTATTTGCCGGGGGGGGGTGATGAGAGAAGAGGCATAACTTAATGCAGGCCTGTGATTTTGGACCCATAAAGCAGATACTGTGAAATAGCTGTATTGTGACTTCCCAGTTGTTTGACAACCCCTTTGTTTTTTGCAGTCCCAGGCAGGCAGCAAAAGCAGGTTTACCAAGGGGAATGGGACTGCATTTGGATTGGAAATCACAAGCCGGGTAAACCAGACTTAATAGGACATAATTGTTGGCAATAGCTTCCCCTGATATGAGGTTAAATGTCCTTTTCAATTACAGATAGGTAGCCGTGTTGGTCTGCCATAGTCAAAGCAAAAAAAATTCCTTCCAGTAGCACCTTAAAGACCAACTAAGTTAGTTGGTCTTTAAGGTGCTACTGGAAGGAATTTTTTTTATGTTTTGTCCTTTTCAATTTATTTTTCAATCTGATTCCCTGCTTCGTGCTCAAGCTCTGCTCTTTCTCTGGAGACTGGCTTTGATTTTGTGAATTACTTACCACAGTGTGAATTTGCAGCTGGCACCAGAGTCAGACTCATAGCTGTCAACTTACAGATTTGAAAATAAGGGACCAGCAGCCTCGAAAATAAGGGATCAGCAGCCAAAATTAGGGATTTTAGACAACCAACTGAAATACGAACTTAAAAGGGACCAGATAATTTTGGAGAGCAGCGCCGGTTTTTAGCCCTTCGTTTCCAGAGGTTGCTTCTAAAGACACCAGCTGATGAAACACTGCAATTAAATAACTACAAGCAGCAACCACTTTTTGCCCAAAACGAAGTCCAAGCTACAAAGATGCTGCTGCAGTTCTGTATCTTTTCTCTCGTGCTCCATCTGCAGCTCTCAGTTCCATCAGGCGGGGCGGGAGGAAGGGGGGGGGGAAATAGCGCCGAAAGTAAACCCGCAGATCAGACCATCTATGCTAGTCTACCACTACAAATCTATGGGAGAAGCACTTGCGGTCCTTCCTCCGCTTTCCCCTTCTATGGTTAGCCCTTGGAACACCTGCCCGCGCCTCCGCCTCCTCCTCTCTCTGAACTGCTTTATGGTTGCCCTCGCTCTCCTCTCAAGGCTCCTCAGCAATTCATAGGCCTCGCCAGGCTGCCCATCTTATCTGGGTCCTTCGGCGGCACAGCCACAGTACAGCCTAGCGGGAGCAGGAGCGGTGGCGACGGGCAGAGGGGAGGCCCCAGGCAGAGACGCTCAGTTTGGCGGTCGCGAGGAGGATGGTGGCGGAAGGGCCTGAGGCTCCCGCCAGTCCTGGCGGGGAGGGGATCCCAGGGGCTGAGGCTGGTGAGAGGAGGCCGGAGGGGGGCAGGCTGGGCAGCCAAGCAACACAGTTGGAGCCTCCCTCCTCCCTGGCCGGCAGGGAGGGAGAGGAGCTGCTTCCTTTGAAACCCGGGAAATTTAAGGGACATCATCAATAAGGGACAGTAGCAGGACACTGCGCTGGGATAAGGGAGTTTCCCGCCAAATAAGGGACGGTTGACAGCTATGTTCAGACGGTAGAGAACAAGGTCCTTGTGCCGCAGTGAGCCAGCAGCTAAAATTCTCCAGAGAAAGAAATCCTATTTATTATTGTTCTCCATATGGATTTTCCAAGGACTGGTTCTTACTTTTCCAGTAGGTAGTTTGCTCCAAAGCAGGGCCTTGTCTGCATCACTATGAAAACCCGGTTGCTCTGCACATAATAAACCGAAGTCTTTGTGAACCACTCACTCCATAAAAGCATTTCTTCCTAACCCTGACATCTCTGCTCCAACGCTGCTCCACAATGCCCCTCCCGTCACCTCTCCAACCCAACTTTTGTGGGAAGCGCCAATGAGCGCACCTTCATTTCTAAGAGTTTGGTTATTTTTCTACTGGCCATTGTGATAAAAAAATCTTAGAAGCCAGACACTTATAAAAAATTGAAGAAAAAATGTGAAAATATTTGAAAGTGTAATAAAAGTTTGTTTCCCTAAATTCAGCCTGACTCAGTCTGATTCTTTGATTTGGTAGGTCTGTTCATGGGAATTTGCTGTCTGGGGCCTCCATCCCTTGGGGCAGGAAACCTCAGAATAGCAGGTGCTGAAGCCAAGGGCAGGGAAGGGCAGCTTCCGGGATGCAAAGGCTTCCTGGGGAGTGCCTTGCTTCTGGGCTGCCCCTTGGCATCTGGTTCCCACTGTGGGAAACAGTGTTGGTCTGGAGAAGGAGGCTTGGAGGATCAAGTGGTCATTTAGTTCAGCAACCCCCTCAGTGCCGCTAGTCAAAGGCCTTTTTCACCCATCTTGCAGGAGAACCCACTGGGATAGCCTCCTGACTGTGGACTTATTTATTCTATTTTTAAAACACAATGCTAGTTCTCCTCTACATTTTATTTTACAGGTTATTATAGTGTTGCACAAAGTCCTTTTTCTTTTTTGGGTTAAATGTGCTGCCTGTCCATTGTTCTGGACTCTGGAGGAATCTGTCAAGCCCTGGCTAGGATGAAGAAAACTTGGGCGTGTGCTTTTGAATTCTGCACAGCAACAGGAAAAGGTGCCAAATGGACATTCTGGGGCAGGGAAGATTCCGTAGCACAAGTGTGTCGCCCATCTCTTCCTCCCTTTATTGAATTTTCCCTTTTTTTTATCCCGCTTCTATCCCGCCCTTCCTCCTAGCGACACGGGGAGCTTCACAACGAGGCGATCCCTCCCTCCCCTCCAGACCCATTTATTCTGGGAAGCCCGCCGGTGGCCGGGCCGAAGGCGAAGCGAGAGCCGCCCGGCGCCGGCGAAGGCCGCCTGCCCCTGCGGAGGAGAGAGCGCGGCCTGGCCCGGGGCGGGGCTTGGGGAGCCATGGCGGCCGCCGGCTGGTCGGCGCGGGTCACGGCGCTGCTGCGGAGGATGAACTCTTTCCACGGAGCAGGTAGGGCCACGACCAGAGGGCGGCCCCGGGGGCATCTAGTCCAGCCCCTGCGGCGCAGGACTCCTTTGCCCTCGCGGCGCTCGAAGCCACAACCGACAGAACTCTCCCCGTCGCAGGGTGGTGGGCGGCCCTTCCCTGGAAGCTTCTCGGCAGAGCTTGGCCGGCCCTCGATTAGGGATGCTTGAGCTGAGATTCCTGCCTTGCCGGGTCGGACTGGATGACCCTCAGGGTCTCTTCCCACCCTATGATTCTATGACCTCTAATTCCAGTTCACTCTCTCCCCTCTCTCAGGCTCCATAGCAAGCTCGCTGCTTTTCCAATTGCCCACAGCCCTTTGCAGTAAGGAAGGGGGTCGAAAATTAAGACAGCGGCCAACTGAGAAGATCCATAAAAAAGCAACTGTACAAAAAGGAATTCTTGTGCCAATAATATATTTTTTTGGGGGGGGGCACCAAATTTTGTCCTCACATTTTGGTGGGGGCACCATATGACCAATATCTGCTCCTGGCCAGGTCTAGTTCATCGGGACTCCACTTGACAAACCCTAAAATAGGCACTCCTTAGTTTTAAAATATAACAACAATAGGATGAAAATTGCCTGCCCCAAAAAGCAATAGAGAACAAGAAAAATAATGTTATATGTCAGCAGTGTTGTTTGGGGAGCAGGGCAAGCACTTTGAATATTGCCATAGTCTTATCACCCTGACAGAAATAAACTCTTGCAGTCTACGATTGCTATCTTATACATGCTTTTCTATGAAATTCAGGCTGCAATCTTACTTGCGTGTAGGTGCTTCTGAAATCAATGAAACCTTCTTTTGAGTAAACATGTGTAAGAAAGCAATTCCAAGCTGAGAAGCATTTGCCCGTGTCCAAAATGCCTTTCCCTATCAAAATGTTGTTGTTGTTTAGTCGACTCTTTGGGACCCCCTGGAGCACGCCAGGCACTCCTGTCTTTCACTGCCTCCTGCAGTTTGGTCAAACTCATGCTGGTAGCTTCCCCATCAAAATAAACTTTTTAAAAAGAGTCCATGTTATTGCTTACGCTGATCAGAGATGCTGCAAAGCAGCAGAGGCATAAAAATTAAAATATTTTTTATATACTTAAATATGGCCCTGCTCATAGGAACTAGGACTTGGCAAAATGATTACAAATTGACAGCTTCATCCCCTTGCAGGTTCTTCAAAGGCTTTGTGCCTGCCATTTATGGTTGCTGGACAGCAGGTGGGCCACGTGCTGCCCTCTGTAGCCAAATATCTCTGTCAGTATCCAGCTGTTTTCTTGGTGTCTCGGGGTGATGGTGTGCCTGCTTGCGTGGAACTTAACAAGAAGCTGGCATCCTCTGAGCAAAGAACAGATGCTGTGGAAGGAGTACTCAGGGAAATGAGAGCACAGCAAGACTTCCCTTGCCTGAAGGAGTGGAGAGAGGAGGTGAGATTACCAGGCACCCAAGGAAGGCGAAGGGCCATGTGGCACCCATGGGTGTCTTTGAATACTGTAAGGGTCAAGTGGGAGGGACCCAGGGCTTCCATTCAGGATACTAGCTCTGGGAGGAAGGAGTGGTTGGGCCAATGAAACAGTTGTCCATGAACCAAAACTTGCTTTCGTTGCAGCTCTACAGTGTGATGCCCTATTTTTGTGACACGCCTCTCTTCAGCATGGAGCGCTCTGCAACTCGTGAGTCTGAGAAACCTTTAACTTCCTTGCTTTGTATTCCATTGATATGAGACACGATTCATGCAGAAGTAATTAAGAGAGACCTCCTAGAAGCATTTGTCCAATCCCATCCATGGTAACAGTTAGGAGCACAGCTAAGAGCTCAAGTGCAGATTTGTCCAAATATCTCCTTTTTTACCCTGCTGGAGAAATCTAGCTTCTGTGCTCTATAAAGGACTATGTCAATGAATGAAACATGAATGCAAGTCCATTTTAGTGGGTCTACTCTGGGTATGATTTAAGAATAATAATTATTATTTATACCCCACCCATGTGGCTGGGTGGTTGGATATCACCCCAATCATAATGTTTGTCCTTGAAAATGAGACAGCATTCAATGTGAAGTGGGAGGCTTCTGTTCCAATCCTGACTTGGTCAACTGTGCACTAGGTGGTCTCAGACATTGTCACAGACTCAGTTCCCCATCTATAAAAAGGGATAATACTTTACAA